CCCTTGATCAGAATTGAACCTGGGACCTTTCAGTCCGCAGGCCAACACTCTATCCACTGAGCCAAACCGGTTTTGGCTGCACCTTATTTTATACACTACAGGCCCGGTGCACGGATTCATGCACAAGTGGGGTCCTTCAGCCTGGCCTGCGCCTACTTGCAATCTGGGACCCCTCAGGGGTCATCCCCCTCCCCCGGGGATGTAGCCGGTGGCCAGGGAGGAGCCCAGCTGCTGCCCATCCAGCCCTGCCGAGCCTGCCGCAGCCCGCCCAGGAGAGGCTCCTGCTGCTGCCGCAGCTGCACTTGCCAGCCGCGATCCCGGCTTCTGGCTGAGCAGCGCTCCAGCTGTGGGAGCGCACGGACCACCAGAAGGCACCTCCTGCATTGAGTGTCTGCCCCCTGGTGGTCAGTGTGCGTCATAATGACCAGTCGACCAGTCATTCTGGTCATTCGGGCGTAATGGTCACTTGGGCTTTTATCTAGAGAGATTACAATCAGAAGAGACATATGTGGATTACATGAAATCTAAAGATGACAGATAGGGAGGTGGGAGAAATCGAAGGGGGGGAGAACCTCTGGGATTGTATAAGAAGCAAAACAATAGACACATATTCTTTTACGTGGGTTCCTACGGGATAGTTAACATGGCAGACTTAACAGTCAGAGGTCCCTGCCTGGGTGATTTGGTTGTGCCTGAAGCGGTCTAGAAAGGGGGAGTTACCCTGGCATTCCAGAGGAATGTCATCGTAGATGCAAAAGAAAATAGAGCCGAAACCGGTTTGGCTCAATGGATAGAGTGTCGGCTTGGGGACTGAAAGGTCCCGGGTTCCATTCCGGTCAAGGGCATGTACCTTGGTTGCGGGCATATCCCCAGTAGGGGGTGTGCAAGAGGCAGCTGATCGATGACTCTCATCGATGTTTCTAACTCTCTATCTCCCTTCCTCTCTGTACAAAATCAATAAATAATATATATTAAAATAAAATTTAAAAAAGACAATAGACAGGCTCGGTTAAGGTAAAGATAACCTTTGTCAGGGAAGATTCTAGCTTAGGACAGGACTACCTGCCATAAACAGCTTTTAGTTAAAAAGTTTTCACTTCAGACCATCCTTTGTGGTTCCTTTAGGTCTCCTGAGTTTGTAAGACCAACAAGCAGGCCTTCCCCGAACTTTTCAGATTTAGGATGTGGTCCCTTTCCATCCACAGGAGAAGGCTGATGAGGACAGCGGGGGAAGGAGCCAGCAGGCAGAGCGAACCACGGAGATTTCGGAGAAGGCAGCAGCCGAAAAACACCTCCTCCAGAGGGGAGGTGTCTGGTCGTTGCTAATCCCTAATATATAAAGAAGTATCCCGAGATGCTTCCATCACAGAGGCTTTTTGGACTGAAAAAAAAGGGCCGGTAAATTAAGTTAATAAATGGTTACATGTGTTCTGACCCCTCTCCTTCACGGTTGCTGCTTTCCCAGTTGTGCTAGCTGGTTGTTGAAATGGGAATGGGTGTAACCCTGGGCATATTCCCCACTGGCCTCCCCCATGACCTTGACATCACGAACAGATAAGAACTGGTCGAACACTTCCTCTGGGTCGATCTGAGAGGACAGAGGGAAGCCAAAGGGCAGCTGTTAGAAAGACTCAAGCAGTGCCGTGAGCTGTGAGAGGGTGAACTATGTGACGGAGAAAATGATTCTTCCAGGTTCTTCCGACTCCATGGCTCAGTGCGCTTCTGCTTTTCCCGTTAAATTTAGTTCAGACTCTCAACCTCATATGGTCGCTGTGAGAATGGTAGGAGATAAAGTGCATATCAGTGCCCAGCCCAGGATATATAAGCTGAATGTGCCCATACATATGTAAGCTGAATACGCATCTATAAATGGAGAAATCCCAGTCCAGTCTCCAAGGAAGTCCCAGCCTCGGCCACTAGAGGGGAGTCTTGGTCACACGCCTGCGGGGGAGGAGGACACAGCATGAGGCGCAGGCACCCCTCTGGATGGACCAGCCTTTCCTCAGGCAGGAAACTCACTCCCACTCAGGAAACATGGCTCCATGCTGAACACCACGGAGTTTCTCTGAGTCACCACATTCTCCTGAAGTGGCAAAATGATCTAGCAAAAGTCCCTCGAAGGCTTTACTGAGTAACATCAAAACTTGCCAGAATCCAAGGCCTTCCCAACCCGGCCTCAACCCACCTGCCCAGCCCAAACTCCCCTTAACCCTCTACCCTGCACCGCACTGGACACCGGTGCTCCTGCCTCTGCCCGACTCTGCTGCTCCTTCTTCCTTTCTTTTTTTTAAATATATTTTATTGATTTCTTACAGAGAGGAAGGGAGAGGGACAGAGAGCTAGAAACATGGATGAGAGAGAACACATCGACCAGCTGCCTCCCGCACACCCCCTACCAGGGATGTGCCTGCAACCAAGGTACATGCCCTTGACTGGAATCGAACCCGGGACCTTTCAGTCCACAGGCAGACGCTCTATCCACTGAGCCAAACCGCTTAGAGCTGTTCCTTCTTGATGCCTTTCCCCTACCTCGACCTTCTGAAACCCCACTTCCTTTTCTTCTCTCTCTTTTTTTTTTTAATGTATATATTATTGATTTTATACAGAGAGGAAGGGAGAGAGATAGAGAGCTAGAAACATCGATGAGAGAGAGTCATCAATCAGCTGCCTCTTGCACATCCCCCACTGGGGATATGCCCGCAACCAAGGTACATGCCCTTGACCAGAATCGAACCCGGGACCTTTCAGTCCCCAAGCCGACGCTCTATCCATTGAGCCAAACGGTCCTGCCCTCCCCCCCACTTCCTTTTCAATGACGCCAATGCCACCTCCTCCACGACTCCCTCCTCACTTCTCTAGAGGGATCTCACCCACCCCCAGCTCACTCACACACCCGATGTTACTTCCACGCATCCGGTATTAAATTGATTTATGTAAGTGCATCTTTTCGACAGGTTATAAACTCCACGAGTAGAGAGGCCAGTGGGCAGTCTGCCCAGGGTAACACGGTGAGTCAGTGGCGAAGATGGGGCTCTAACCTGGGCACCCTGGCTCCAGAGAGCCCTGACTCCTAACCACTAATCCACCCGGTACCTTTCCTCAGCCAGAGCGCCTCGCTCGGCGTCACTCCACAGCTTCTCAACCTTGTGAATCACTGGCCTAAGGAGCACCTCACGGACCGGCACAGACTGGTGGGCTGTTGGGAGCCAGCCACTCGGTCTCATTAATCTGAATTAGAGTGCCCGGTCATAGATCCAATTATGAGCAATTGCAGAATCAGAATCACTGTTCCACTTTGTGTCTTGATCTATAATGCATATAAGGACCTCCTCCTGGCTTTTAAGGAAGGAGAAAACAAAGTGGTTCCTTAATGAAGGCCAGCAAATGTGTTTTTCCGAAGCTTCCAGCCTTCTCCCCCTCCCACCCCCGCCCCGAATCTGCGTGTCATCCTTGCGCAGGGCCGTGCTCGCCCTCTCTGTGGGTCCAGTACCTGCGCTGCGGGCTCCACTGCGGAGGGAAGGGGCTGGACTGGCCGCCTCCGGTCAGCGCTGTCTCTGGGGGACAGAATGGAATTAAAAAGGGTCCTGCTGCCGAAACCGGTTTGGCTCAATGGATAGAGTGTTGGCTTGGGGACTGAAAGGTCCCAGGTTCGATTCTGGTCAAGGGCATGTACCTTGGTAGGGAGTGTGCCTCTCTCCCTTCCTCCTCCGTACAAAATCAATAAAATATATTTTAAAAAAAAGGGGGGGGGGGCCCTGCCTCTGTGTCAGAAGATATCATGTTGAGTCCTAGCCGGTTTGGCTCAGTGGATAGTGTTGGCCTGCGAACTGAAAGGTCCCAGGTTCAACTCGGGGAAAGGGCGCATGCCTGGTTGTGGGCTCTATTCCCAGGGAGGGACTTACAGGAGGAAGCCGACCCACCATGACTCTCTCTCATCATGGATGTTTCTAGCTCTCTCTCCCTTTTCCTTCCTCTCTGAAATCAATAAAAATATATATTTTAAAAAAGAAGAAGATATCATGTTGAGTCTCAGCTCCCCAGCTCCCAGGTCCCCCATCTGCAAACTCTGAGAACAAGACAGGCTTGGCCCACTCTGACCCCGAGTGGAGGAGCTGTCTGAGGAAACTGAAGTGGTCAAATAAGTGCGCAAACTGCCAGGTCTGGTACAGAACCGAAAGGTGATGACCCTGAGGGCCTGGGGGAGGCAGAGGAGGGTGTGGGGTAGAAGAGAGGACGGGGGAGACTTGGGGTGTGAACACACCACAGGACAGCCCGCTGATGTACACTACAGGATTGTACCCTGAAATCTACGTAATTGTAACCAATGTCACCCCGATAAATTCAACAAGAGAGACATGCTGACAGGATTTCAGTTTTGCAAACTCCAGCGACCACAGAAGTGTAGCCTGTTTTGCTGTGTTTGAGGGAAGCCTCACGGTGTGGATTGAGTAAACCCGGTCACCCTGCAGGAAGCGTCCGGCCTCTCCCGGCCCCGGCCCCGGGGCGGCGGGCTGGGGTGCCCTCCGCCTCTCCCCCTCCCCGGGGCGACGGGCTGGGGTGCCCTCCGCCTCTCCCCCTCCCCGGGGCGACGGGCTGGGGTGCCCTCCGCCTCTCCCCCTCCCCGGGGCGACGGGCTGGGGTGCCCTCCGGCCTCTCCCCCTCCCGGGCCGGGGCGGCGGGCTGCGCGGGGCGGGGCGCCAGCGGCCGGGCACCCGCCGTGGAAGCGCCGCGCGCGCCCGGGGCCACGTGACGGCGGGGGCCGGGCCGCGCGCTCCGGGCCGGCGGGAAGGGGCGGGCCGGCGGGAAGGGGCGGGAAGGGGCGGGGCGGGAAGGGGCGGGCCGGCGGGAAGGGGCGGGAAGGGGCGGGCCGGCGGGAAGGGGCGGGGCGGGAAGGGGCGGGCCGGCGGGAAGGGGCGGGCCGGGCGGGCGGGCGGGCGGGGCGCGGGCGCCGGGCGGCGGCAGGGGCGGGGCGGCGCGGCGGCGCGGAGGGAGGAGTGGAGATGGCGGCGGCGGCGGCTCCGGGGGGCGGGGGCGGGGAGCCCCGGGGAGCCGATGGGGTCGGCCCGGGGGGCGCGGGGGACGTGGAGGTGGTGAAGGGGCAGCCGTTCGACGTGGGCCCGCGCTACTCGCAGCTGCAGTACATCGGCGAGGGCGCCTACGGCATGGTCAGGTGAGGGCGCCGGGGGCCGGGGGTGCGGGCCGGGGTCCTGGGTGCCGGGTGCTCGGTGCTCTCTGCGCCTGGCGATCCGGGGCGCGGCCGGGCAGGGGGCGCCCCGGGAGGGGCCTGGGGTGCGTTCTGCGTGCGGCCGAGGAGGGGCTCGGAGCCTGGACCGGCCTTTCCGTGGCGAAGGGCGGGGACCAGGGTGTGGGGAGCTGCGGGGACCGGGCACCCTGTGGGCGCGGGTGAGGGAGGAGAACGGGGTCTCGGGACGGTCCCCCCGGAGTGCAGAGGGAGTGAGGATCCTGGGGAGGATGCCTGGGGTCCCCGGGGGACCGCCCGGAGCTGGGGAAGCCGAGCAGCCAGGACTGGGGTGCTGGGGCTGGTCCAGGGCGCCTCCTGCAACTTCCAGGAGGGGCTGCAGTCCCCCCTCCCTCGGTGGGTGCTGGGCTTTGTTCACCTGGGTCGGCCTGCTGCCCGGGTGGGTACCTTGCCCATCAGTCGCCCTGACAGCCGTGCCTGCCTCACCCCTTCCCTCCAGCCCCTCCCGTGACTCCCCCTTCTCCCGGTGTTTGCCTCACTGTCTGTCCTCCACTGGCTCCCAGCCCCAGCCCTGTCCTGGCCTGGGGAGCCCATCCCTGGGAGGGGGGGCCACTCGCATGGAGAGGGTAGCGGAGAGGGGAAGTCTGTGAGCGGTCAGTCTCTTCCTCTCTTTGTGAAGCCGCTGGAGGCTGCCTGGCTGGTCCCCAGCCCTCTCCCTGGAGATCCCAGGCCTTCGGCAGGAAGGAACCAGCATTGTTTACCACTTGGCCGGAGCCCTCTCCCGCTCCCGCTCCCGCCCTGCCCTGCCCTGCCCTGCCCTGCCCTGCCCTGCCCTGCCTGGGTGGGGCCCGCGGGCCTGGACTCCCCTCCACACCAACACCACCTCTCCCGCCCCTCAGCTCGGCCTACGACCACGTCCGCAAGACACGCGTGGCCATCAAGAAAATCAGCCCCTTCGAGCACCAGACCTACTGCCAGCGCACGCTGCGCGAGATCCAGATCCTGCTGCGCTTCCGCCACGAGAACGTCATCGGCATCCGGGACATCCTCCGGGCGCCCACGCTGGATGCCATGAGGGATGTGTATCCTTCACCTTGGCCTCGGAGCTGGGCTGGGAGAACACTGGGCTTCTTTCTGCTTCCTTCTTCCCTGTCGCCCTCCTGAGCAGACCCAGAGAGAAGCCTAGCGGGAAGGCGGCCTCTGGGGCAGCCTGGCCTGCTGCAGCCGGGCCGGGTGTCCGTGAACACGTCCACTCCCTCTGCCTCTGGGGGGTCTGGGCCAGATGGCCTCTACGGGCCTTTGTCTCCTGATACATAGAGGTGTGTCAGGACCCAGCCTCTGCCCCCAGCCAGTTCTTGGTTAACAGCCGCAGTGCATGCCCAGGACTTTCCCGTCTCTAACTCTACCTCCCAACTGCCTGATGAGCTGGGTCTCAGCTCCCTTTCGTGCATAGATGAGGAAATTGGGGCTCAGAAAGCCTCGGCCCCTCCCTCTGCCCCTCCCCCAGAGAAACGCTGTCCTTTCTCCAGACTTCCTGCCGGGAGGGCCCCGCCCGTCACCTGTGGCCTTGCACCTTGCCCAGGGCCCAGCCCTCCCCCATGTCACTTTCCTGCTTAGCTGTCCACTTCCTGCCTGGCCCTGCTGTTAGCAGCTTCTGCTACCCATCACCTCTCCCCCACTCACCCACCCCCAGGCAGTCCCAGTTCTCCACCCAAGCGGGGGATCCTGCCTGCAGGCCCCCACCACAGACTGCGGGCTGGAAACCTCCACACTCCCGCCCAGCTCGCCGTGTGACCTTCAGCATCTTCGTCGATAAAACTGGGCTGGCCCATACCTCCCCAGAGGCCCTTTGAGGCTGATGCTAAGAGATAGTCCTTCTTCTTGTAGAGACAAGCCAAGAGACATTTATGTATGTATGTATGCATGCATGCATGCAAGTTTAATCTTAAAACCTATAAGGACACGTACTCCTCTGTCTTCTGATGTATGGCCACGCACTGAGTAGGAGCGTGCTGCTGGGTTTCTCCTCGTTTGTCTTGTACACACTATCTTTTTAAGGCATTTCTTTTTAAGAAACATTTATTGCATGCCAGATGGTATTCGCACATTATCTCACGTAACCCCTCTCAACAGCCATGTGGCTCAGGCATTTCTCATAGCAACACGAGTCCGTGTTTGCTGAACACTCACCGTGTGCCAAGCACCGGGCTGGCTTCTTCACAGGGGTCATCTCATCGCATTGTCACACCCACTCTGAAAGAACCATTCTCCTGCTTTTCAGATGAGGAAATAGAGGTGCGGACAGGTTGAGGTGGTAAAACCACCAGCAGATTAACCCCAAAGCTGCTGTTCTTTTTTGTTTTTTGAAAGATATATTTTTTTTGACAGAACCAGTTTGGCTCAGTGGACAGAGTGTCAGCCTGCGGACTGAAGTGTCCCGGGTTAGATTCCGGTCAGGGGCATGTCCCTTGGTTGCGGGCACATCCCCAGTGAGGAGTGTGCAGAAGGCAGCTGATCAATGTTTCTGATTCTCTGTCCCTCTCTCTTCCTCTCTATGAAAAGTCAATAAAGTATATTTTTTTAAAAAGATGTATTTTTATTGATTTCAGAGAGGAAGGGAGAGAGAGAGAGAAACACCAATGATGACAGAGAATCATTGCTTGGCAGCCTCCTGCACGCCCCACACTAAGGACCAAGCCCACAACCTGGGCATCTGCCCTGGATCAGAATTGAACCCAGGACCCTTCAGTCCATAGCCAACACCCTACCCACTGAGCCAAACTGGCCAGGGCCAGAGCTGCTGCTCTTAACTGGAGTTCTCCTGCCTCCTGCAGAACCCCAGTGCTTTGCTCAGGGTCACCAGCTGAGACGCAGCAGAGGCCCCAAGCCCAATGCTGAGCCAGGGCCCTGCCCAGCTTGTGAGAGGGGTTGGCAGATCTGTTGAGTCTTAGGGGTGCCAGCTGGAGGGGGTGCGAAGCCTGGCCACCGAAGCCCGTTCTTTTTTTCTTTTTTTAAATAAATATATTTTATTGATTTTGTACAGAGAGGAAGGGAGAGAGATAGAGCTAGAAACTCGACAAGAGAGAGTCATCAATCAGCTGCCTCTTGCACACCCCCCACTGGGGACATTCCCGCAACCAAGGTACACGCCCCTGACCGGAATCGAACCCGGGACCCTTCAGTCCCCAAGCCGACGCTCTATCCACTGAGCCAAACCGGTCCCAGGAAGCCCGTTCTTCTTAACCACGTGCCTCCCGCTGCCCCCACCCGGGGGTCTCCGATACCACCCTCAGCTACATCGTGCAGGACCTGATGGAGACAGACCTGTACAAGTTGCTCAAAAGCCAGCAGCTGAGCAACGACCACGTCTGCTACTTCCTCTACCAGATCCTGCGGGGCCTCAAGTACATCCACTCGGCCAACGTGCTGCACCGGGACTTAAAGCCCTCCAACCTGCTCATCAACACCACCTGCGACCTTAAGGTCAGGGCTGGGGTGCCCGCTCCTCCTCCCGCCAGGGCCTGGCCTTCCGTTTGACTGCTGGCCGCCTGGGGTAGGCGGGCGCTGCAGGCAGAGGGAACCGCAGGGGCAGGGGCATGGCGAAATGGCTGCTTGGGCGTGGAGACCTTGAGCACCACGCTTAGCAGCCTGGGTTGGATTCCAGATCTGCGATTTTGGCCTGGCCCGGATCGCCGACCCTGAGCACGACCACACCGGCTTCCTGACAGAATACGTGGCCACGCGCTGGTACCGGGCCCCAGAGATCATGCTTAACTCCAAGGTAGGGGGCCCGCCCACCCCCAAAGGGGAGGGGCCAAGTCCCAGAAAGCCCTGGAGCCACCTCTGAGCCAGGCAGTGACCCCCTGGGCCGGGTCACATTGCTCCGGTCCTTGGGGTCTGGAAAGAGGCTGAGCATTAGCTCCGCCCAGGCTCTGCTCTCTGCCTCCTGCAGCACTGAATCTAGGGGTGTGGGGGGGGGGGGGCAGACAACAGGGCCCTGGTGAGGCTGGCCCGGGACCCACCACTTTCTCCCCATCCTCAGGGCTACACCAAGTCCATCGACATCTGGTCTGTGGGCTGCATTCTGGCTGAAATGCTCTCCAACCGGCCCATCTTCCCTGGCAAGCACTACCTGGACCAGCTCAACCACATTCTGGGTGAGGGGGCCTGGCCCGCGCGTGGCAGGGAGATTAGCCTGCTGGAAGGGAGACTTCTTTAGGACCAGGGTCGGGAGTCTGGGAGTCGGATCAGGAGTACCACCACCGTTGGAGCCTCCACAGCATCGCACAGGATTTCAGTGACGGATAGAGACTATCCCGTTAGCACACGGGGAGAGCAGGGCTGCAGCCCACGCGTAGGAAGTGCTGGAGCTGAGATCTGAGCTGAGGGCTGCCTGAGTCCAGACCCCTTGCTCCACCATCACAGCGTTGGCTGAAGATAACTGTCAGGCATGGGATGGGTTGGTGGGAGCTCCTGTTCTTGGTTCCTCCTGCTCCCAGAGGGGAGAGAAGGTCTCTCACCAGGTCACCTGCCCTTCCCACAGGCATCCTGGGCTCCCCATCCTCCGAGGACCTGAACTGCATCATCAACATGAAGGCCCGGAACTACCTGCAGTCTCTGCCTTCCAAGACCAAGGTGGGCTGGGCCAAGCTGTTCCCCAAGTCCGACTCCAAAGGTGAGGGGCACATGGGGCTGACGGGGGGTAAAGGCGGGGTGCGTGAGCCCGGCAGCTACCCTAGCCTTCCCTTTGACCCCCGGTTCCTGCCCTTCCTTAGCCCTTGACCTGCTGGACCGGATGTTGACCTTTAACCCCAACAAACGGATCACCGTGGAAGAAGCGCTGGCTCACCCCTACTTGGAGCAGTACTACGACCCGACAGACGAGGTGGGCCGGCCGCCGGCAGGCCTGGGGGTGAGTGGTGGGTAGGCATCCCTCGGTCTCCGGCCTGAGCCTCACATCTCTGCCACCCTAGCCGGTGGCCGAGGAACCTTTCACCTTTGACATGGAGCTGGATGACCTGCCCAAGGAGCGGCTGAAGGAGCTCATATTCCAGGAGACAGCCCGCTTCCAGCCTGGCGTGCTGGAGGCCACCTAACCTGCACAGACGCCTCCGCTCCCCGGGGCTCGGTGAGTGCGCCCCGCCGCCCACACGCTGATTCACCCTGAGACCAGGGTGCCTACCAAACATCCGGTGCAGTCAGAGCTCGCTCATGCCCATGATCCATGTGTACCGAGCAGCAGGAGGGCCAGAGACTGCCCAGACCGCAGGCCTGTGGTCTGCCAGTCTTCATGTCCCTCCTTCCCCCCCCACCCCCCCACCCAAATGTCTCCCATCTGCCAACACCCTGCTGCCTCCAGCCCCAGGGGTCCCTGAGGCTCACCCATCTGAGGCCCCGGGCCAGGTTCTGCCCCTCTCAGAGTGGACAGAGAGGCAGGTGGGGCCGCAGTGGCTTTGGGAGGAGCTGGCAGCTCTCAGCTGACCCAGATACCAGGCTTTCTCACACCTGGCGCCCAGGTCAGCAGTTCACCCACCTTCAGGGGACTCTCACCCACACCTCTCTTCCCTCCTTCGTCACCCCCGGTCTTTCTGCCTGCCAGCTGGAGCCCGAGGGAGGGCGGGCAGACACACCTGTGCTCAAACCCCGGCTCTGACAGGTAGTAAGAGCTGTGTAAGATATTGTGCAAGGCACCCCATGGGCTTCTGCAGCTCCGTTTCCTGGGGACCGCCCTGATAATGAGAGCAAACACGGAGCACCGCGCATTGTTCTAGATGTTTCTGGGTAGGAGCTCATTGCATCCTCACAGCAGGGCCGTGAGACAGGCACTCCTGTTCCCGGCGGCGATGAGGAAACAGGCACGGCTCCCTGGCTGTCAGGACGGAATGAGAGGGGGTGAGGTCAGAGCTCCGGCAGAGGCTCTCCCGGTGCTGATGGTTCCTCTCCTGCTGCCTTTTCGTTTAGGCCGTGCCTCCTGTCTGCCCTCCCCTGCTGGACTGTTAGAAAATGGACCCTGAGCCCAGCCCGGACCCCCGCAGCCCAGGTCGGGGCACAGGGCGGGCCTGGCCACCTTCCCTCGCTTCGCTCAGGCCTCCTGCTTCCCAAGGCGCCCTCCCTCCCTCTCCCCTCCTCCAGGACCTGCGGCTCAGGTGGCCCCAAAGCGAATCCCCCTCGGCGGCTCTGCCTTCCTCTCCCCGGCTACCCCAGTCTCTGGCGGCTCCAGAATCGAAGGGCTCTGGCTGCCCTGGACCTCCCCAGGGACAGTGGGGTTAGGGCACACTGAGTCGGGACTCAGGGCCAGCCACGCCCCACTCACCTCACTCAAACCCCAACCCTTTCCCCTCAAGGAACATTCCCGAGGCTCAAGGGCTAGTATCGTTGAGGAGCAGGGCCCTGCCCAAGCCCCCTCCCCCCCGAGCTGCCACATCTAACTCCTGCTGCTTCTGTGTGTGGTGAGCAGAAGTGGAGGCGGGCGCGGAGCCTGTGCCCTGCCCGCCTGTGCCTGTGTCTAATATATAAATACAGAGATGTGTCTATGACGGCCCCGGCTCTGTCTGTGTTTGCCCACGCGTGTCCCTCGCCGTGGCCGCTCTGAGGACGGGCACTCCCCCCAGCCACCTCCCGCGGTGGCTGTACCGGGCCCTGGCCCCGCGGGCTCCCCATGGCCAGGGCTGAAGAGGGCAGTGTGAGAAGCTCCGCCTCCTGGACAGAGTGGGGTCTATTTCCCCCTTAGCCGCTGTCTTCTCCCCTCTCCGACGTCTTCCTAACCGGCTGGGGCGATCGGGGGTGACTCTGGCACCCCACACCCCCCTGGATTTTCTAGAATGGCAAGGGATGGTACCCCCGGCCACGTGCACAAGTGGCAGGGGGGTAGGGGGGTGATAGCAGTCGTGTGGGGGAACCTGGCTCCCCAGGGCTATCTAGCAGAGAGGGCGCTGGGATCTGTGAGGGTCTGGGGTGTGAGGGCCAGGGCCGCTTGGCCTCGCCATGCACCTGCGCTCCATCCAGCTGAGCCCTGCAGCCTGGCGCTGGGCCAGCAGCAGGCTGAGCAAGTCGCAGGGGCGTGGTGGTGACCAGTGGAGGAATCAGCCTACATTAGCCAGGCAGTCGCAAGGCGGCACAGTTCACCGGCGACAGCTGAGCCGGCGGCAGCCGGATCGGAGCCGGGAGGCCGCAGCCATGAGCTCCGTGCTGTACTACGCCCTGCCCGCCCTGGGCAGCTACGCCTTGCTCTCCATCTTCCTCCTGCGCCGGCCGCGCCTGCTGCACCCACCCCGGGCTCCGGCCTTCTGCCCCCGCCTGGGGGCCCACCGGGGAGGTGAGCCCGGGAGGAGGGGTGTGGGCCTCTGAGGTGGACTAGGGAGAGCGAGACACGTGCCAAGGTGGACGGCAGAGGGGGGAGGGCTAAGGGGCCAGATGTCAGAAAGAGGGCAGCCCGAGGAGGAGGAGAGCAGATGGGGGGGGGGGGGGGATGTGGGACAAGGAAAGAGGCTGCCCACCTGGGCTGACAGGTGACGAGGCAGGGCCAGGGGAGAGGAAGGGGCCCAGCCCCAGGACCCACCGCGCTGCCCCACACAGGGTCCGGAGAGAGGCTGGAGAACACCATGGAGGCCATGGAGAAGTGAGTGCGGCCCCCCCCCGGGGGGCCCCCCCCAAGCTGCGAGGCTGTGCAGCTGGTGCCCAGGGGTGCCACGCGCTTCCTCGTCTGGGTGACCGGAGGCATCGCCCGCACAGCCCGCTTCCATTTGCCCCGCGCTCCCCTGAACCTCCCCGCCACCCTGTGCCCACGGCCCACTGACCTTTGCACCCTCAGCGCCATGGCCCAGCGCTCGGACCTCCTGGAGCTGGACTGTCAGCTGACCCGGGATGGCGTGGTGGTGGTGTCCCACGACGAGAACCTGTCCCGCCAGTCAGGCGTGAACAGGGATGTGAGCAGCCTGGCGTTTGAGGTGGGCCTCGCCCTAGCCCCCCCCTTACCCAGAGAGCCCCCCCCCGTGCCCTCCTGGTGACATGCCTCTGCCCCCCCAGGAGCTGCCCCTCTACAAGGAGGAGCTGGAGGTTTACTTCTCACCGGGTAAGAGCACGGTGTGAGCCCGGCGCTGGGCCAGCCGAGCCGGGTCAGGGCCTCAGCCTCTGCCTTCTCTTCTCCTCTGGCACTTGCCCCTCCTTCCCTGGGTCCCCGCCCCCGCCAAGCCTCCTCTGGCCTCTCCCGTCACCCCCCAGGCCACTTTGCACATGGGTCGGACAGGCGCATGGTGCGTCTGGAGGACATTTTCCAGAGGTTCCCTCGGGTGCCCGTGAGTGTGGAGGTCAAAGAGGAAAACGAGCAGCTCATTCACAAGGTGGTGCTGTGGGCAGGGTGGGGAGGGCCCCGCTGGGAGAGGCCCGACTAACTCCCTTTCATCTCCGCCCTCCTCCCTCCAGATAGGCAGCCTGGTGAGGCACTTTGACCGCAATGAAATCACCATCTGGGCCTCGGAGAAGAGCTCGATCATGAAAAAGTGCAAGGCCGCGGTGAGTCCCTTTCCCTCCCGGCTCCTGCAGCCCCTGCTCCCAGCGGCTGGAGCCCGCCCCTCCTGCGGGCCTAGGCTAGTGGGGGGCCTGGGGGTCCTGGGGGACTTGGAGAGGTGAGCTGTGGGGGAAGTACGTGGCCAAGCCAGGTCCTGCTGCTGGAACAGGGAGGCTGCATTTAGGCCCTGAGTGCTGGGCGAGATGTGGCTTTGATCCCGCAGATAATAGGGTTTCTTGATGTTCCAAAGCTATTTCCCCTGCAGCCCAAGCCTCTCCAGGAGCAGACTGACTGCTCTCACCCCCCTCTCCTTGCCTCCCAGAACCCCGATATGCCGCTGTCCTTCACGAGATGGCGCACGATCCGGCTGTTGCTGCTATATTACCTGGGGCTGCTGCCCTTCGTCCCCATCCCTGAGAAGTTCCTCCTGTGCTTCCTGCCCACCATCATCAACAGGTGCCCACAGGGTCCCCCTCCCCTTCTCCACCCTCCCCCAGGCTGCCAGCTGCTTCTGTCCTTGGAAAAACACCCCACCCCACATCCCAAGCCCCATTTTGTTACCACCTTCCCGGTAACCCCCACCCACAGTACTTTGAAGACAAGGGTTCTCACGCAGCATCCACTGAATACCAAGAGGACCGTGAACCCTGTGAAATTCTATGCAAATGCACTAGGCTGTAGGTGTGGATGGGGCTTCGGAACAAAAGGTTCATGTGCTCGTCCATTCACCCAACTGGTATTTATCGAATGCCTGCTCTGTTCCAGGTGCAGCCACACTAGTAATCAAGCAGGGTGGGTGGGGCAAGGCCCTCCGTTTACAGTCTGGCTAGGGAGACACGTGTTAATGACAGCATCACTCTGATCCTCAAAAGGAAAAGCAAGTGTTTTCCTGCCCGGAAAACAAGGATTAACAAAGTAACATCTGGGGAAAAGGATGGGGAGTTCGGATACTCCGCCAGCTCTGGGGCCGCCCGCCCCCTGCTGTCAGAGAGCGTCCCCGCCTGGCCCAGTGCTGTCTGCTGCCCCCTGTTGTCAAGAGAAGCTCCCAGCCAGCCCCCACAATCCTTTGCTACAAAGACATCTTTATAGGACAGAACTGTGTGTGTGGCGTTTTTATACAGATGGACAGTGTTTCCACATCCCTCAGTTAGCTGAGCTGTACTCTGCAGCACCCCGGGGGTACAGGAGTCATGACCCCACAGAACATGGGGAATCTGAGGCTCAGAGCTTTTGTAACTTGCTCGAGATGATCCAGCTAGAAGTCCAGAGCCTGGCTTGCCCCGAGTCCACCTCCAAAGCCTGGGAAGGGCCTCGAGGGCCGCCCCTGGAGCGGGACAAGCAGGGCGAGCAGCCAGCCCATCAGACACTGTCTGAGCTCAGGAGGCTGGCAGGCCCAGCGGGGAGGACCCCAGACTGGGTGTCCAGCGTGGGATTCAGGCTGGGTTTCAGGCCTGGCCCCACCAGACTTGCAGGTGGCCTCGGGCAAGTTAATAAAAGTCTCCAAGACTTAAGTTTCCCTTCTGAAAAGCTGAGGGTGGGCACACCCTCAACGCATGGAGTCAAGGAGGCAGGAGGAGGATCTCGCTGAACAAAGAGTGAATTGTTTGGGCAACTGCAAAGGTTCTTTTTTATTATTATTATTTTGTATTTCAGAGAGGAAGGGAGAGAGAGAAACATCAATGATGAGAATCACTGATCAGCTGCTTCCTGCACGCCCCCCACTGGGGATCGAGGCCATAACCCGGGGAATGTGCCCTTGACCGGAATTGAACCCGGGACTCTTTAAAAGTCCACAGAGCAAGCCGAAACCGGTTTGGCTCAATGGATAGAGCGTCGGCTTGGGGACTGGAGGACCCGGGTTCGATTCCGGTTAAGGGCATGTACCTTGGTTGCGGGCATATCCCCAGTAGGGGGTGTGCAAAAGGCAGCTGGTCGATGACTCTCTCTCATCGATGTTTCTAACTCTCTCCCTTCCTCTCTCCCTTCCTCTCTGTACAAAATCAAATAAAATATATTTTTAAAAAAATAAAAAATAAATAAAAGTCCACAGAGCAAAACTCTATGCACTGAGCCAAACTGGCCAGGCTGCAAAGGTTCTCTTCGAGGGGGTAGGTTTCACTGGTCAGGGATCACGACCACCCCCAATCTCCACCCTGTGACGGAGACACCCATGGACTCCCCTTCTCCACAGGACCTACTTCCCGTTCTCCTGCTCTGCGCTGAACCGGCTGTCAGCCACGGTTACTAAATGGTAGGTGGGCGAGAAGGCTGGGTGGCGTGTCCCAGAGAGACCTGCCTCTGCCCTTCTCCTCAGTCCCCCCATCTTGACCTTTGCCCCCCGCCACCCCACCCCCCAGGCTCATCATGAGGAAAAGTCTGATCCAATACCTGGAGCAGCGAGGAGTGCAGGTGAGGCTTCGCTGGCACAGCTCTGGTTACCGCTCTGCCCTGACCAGCTGGCGCAGTGGGCAGGTCACCCTCAGAGCCTTGGTGTCCTCACTGTAAATGGGCTAATGACAGAGTTGGCTCCTCTGGATGTTGCACCTGGTACTTAGCAAGAGCTTGATAAGCGCTAGCCATTCTGGTGATGTACCGAGCTATCCTGACCCCCGAGGGAGGGCTGGACAAAGGCCAGACGGGAAAAGGAGCCTGCCACCTCCTCCCGCTCCCAAGCTCCCGCTCTGACCAGGTCATTTAATTGGCAAACCTCTGCTGAGCATATATTCGGGGCACTATGGCACTGAGTGGGGAGTTTACCGGGCAAAGTTGGGAAAGGAAGCAGGCCATCACCATCACAGGAAAGGAAAGGGGAAGGCAGGAAGGGAGAGTGCGGTGGCCTGTGGGGTCAGAGGCCTCGGGGAGCAGAGAGGCGCTGGCTCAGGGGCGGACGAGGAGAGCACAGGCGGGAGGCCCCTGTGGGAAGGCCCAGAGGAGCTAGAGGCTGGCAGTCTGAGAGACAGAGGGCCACCGTGGCAGCCTGGAAGCCAGACTGGAGGAAGCGGCACCAGGGAGGCTGGAGAAGGCAGGCAGCTGAAGGACCTTAAGCCAAGGACCTCTACAAGGAGCCTGGGCTTCTGCCCAAAGGGAGAGGAAGCTTTTGAGGGAAGAGACCATTGAGATTTGCTGAGGGAGGGTCATCCGTGTGCAGAAGTGATGTGGGGGCCCTTTGGGAGCAGTCTCAGGAGGAGGCAGATGCTGTCCCGGTCAGGATTTGGGCTCAGATGGAAGAGCAGAGTCACAGACAAGCCGCCGATTGGATGGGGGCAGTGAGGATGAGCCCTCCCACTCCTTGGCGCTTCACTGCGACTGGAGGAGGCTGGACCTCACCGCTCAGCTGGCACATCAGGAACCCAGAGGCCAGTGGCTTGCCCAGGGCACAGATCCTGGTCTCCCCATGTCAGTGCCCACGGGAGAGGACTTGGCAGGCAGGGAAGGGAGAGTAGCAGTGGGCGCGGGCAGGCTGGCGGGGCGGCCTGCTGGTACACAGCCCACGGCTGGCCTCCGTGGTGTGCCTGCTGCCTCGGTTGCCCACGTGAAGTCGCTAAACGGAGCTGGGAAGAGATGGGAGGAGAACATCGTTGCATACTATTTCCACTGGGCACATTGGACAGTCATAAATCCTCTCCAGGACCTAGGGGGAAGTAAGAAGGAGGAAGTGATCCGTTTTTAGATTTTATTGCCTTTATAGAGTTGCAAGTTTATACAGCTTAATATTTAACAATGGCTGTGTTCCAAACCAATTTGAAAAACTTCTGAAAATGGAACCACTGGGAGGCCTGCACCGAGGGGAGCGCTGACCAGCTGGGTGCTGGTGGCGTTCCAGGCCAAGCTGTGGAAAAGCCCCGTCTCGCCCCCCACCCCCAGGTGGTATTCTGGTGCCTGAACGAAGAGGCGGATTTTGAAGCGGCCTACAGCCTGGGGGCCACCGGCGTCATGACCGATTACCCCACGGCCCTGCGGCGCTACCTGGACAGCCACCGCGCGGCCTAAGCCCCCTCCACGTTTCTCCTTCCCAATAAATATTTTATTTTTAGTCAAGACTTTCCGCATTCTTTTTAGAGGGTGGAGGGTGTCTGGGTGTCAGAGATCCTAGAAAACTCTGAAGATGGCAGCCTAAGGCTGGAGTCTGGGACCCGAACTGGCCTGACCCACTGGTTCCGCCACATTCCGGACCCAGAGCGATGCCACTCCCTGTGCCAGCCTGGCCTCCACTCTCCTCAGGAATGTCCCTTCGGAGCCACAGAGAATGGGTCCATTCTTCTGAGGCCACTAAGAGCCAGGCTCACAGCGAGGGCCTGGGCTGGCCGCAGAGGTGGGCATGGCAGGCGGCAGGCCCACCTGCTGCCTCGCCCCGCCAACCTTCCCCACCCAGGTTTTTGCTCCAGACGCTCCCAGTTCCTTGGCCCTCTCAGGTGGCATGTCTGTCACTCACTTATGAAACCGGCTTTCACCAGCCTCACCAGCCTGTGGTAACTGGAGGCCAGGCCGGCCCGAGGCCGTGCAGGGAACCAGACAAGGTTAGCATGGCAGACCCTGCAAACAGTGAGAAAGAGGAAGGAAGGGGAAGCCCGCAGCAGGCACCAGCTCAGCCTGGAGGGCCAGGCTGGAGCGGGTGCAGCTCAGCTGGGCTCCGGCTGGTTCCCAGGCTCCGGCCTGGGGCTCTAACCGACCACACCTTTGGCTCCTCCATTCCGAGGCGGTCCCTGGTGCAATGGCCAAGGCTGAGCACTCGGACCCAAGCGAGAATGCCAGCTCTGCCTCTTGCAGGCGGACAGCCTCGGCAGGCGGGGAGCAGCAGCAGTAGCTGCCTCGGGGCTGCAGCGGGATGCAGGGTGGGCCCGGACGGGGGAGCGCGGGGAATTATGACTATTCTGTCCCCGGGGGCGTGCCTCCAGACACCGCCCCTCCTAACCCCGCGCAGCCCGGGTACCTCTCACACGCGCCCCTCCGAACCGCGGGCGGCCGGGGAGGGGGGCCGCGCCGGGCCGGGCCGGGCGGCAGCGGACCGCGGGCGACACCGCATTTCCGGGCGGCAGAGCAGAGCGGGGGCGGGGCGGCCCGGCCTGAGCCGGCCGCGGCGTGACGCGCCCCCTCATTTGCATGCTGTGCGCCGATTGGCCGCGGCGCCGCGGGGCCCAGGGCTGGCCCCCTCCCCCTCCCGCCGCAGCGGCGGAGCAGCTGTTCTCGGTGTAAACAAGTCGCGGCGACGGGAACCGGGCCGGGGTGGGGGACGGCGCCCCCAGGGCCCCCACTCCCAGGCCAGCCTCCCCGGCGGACCGGGCTCCCGCGCCCAGGCGAGGTGAGGCCCGCACCCTCAGGGCTGCGCGTCGCCCCAGCCCCGCCCCGCCAGCGAGGACTGTCCCCTTCCCCGGCGCCCGCCCCCCGCCCCGCGCCCCAGGTGAGCCCCGGGTCTCAGGTAAGGCTCCGCGATGCAGGTAAGAGCCAGCCCCTCGGCAGAGACGAGGCTCGGCGTCCCCAGGTAAGAGCTCCTCCCCACTCGGTGACCCTCCAACTAAGGAAGGCCCCAGCCTTTTCCCCAGATGAGCTTCCTGCACGGTGTATACGTGCAGTGCTCCCCCCCCCCCCAGCTCCGCCCTCCGCAGCTCACATGAGATCCTAAGACCATCCAATGCCCAGCCCCTTCCGGCTCCCCTAAACAGAGCCGACAGCTCATCCACTCTAAAGCCCCTTCCTCCAGTTTCAGTTAGTTGCCAGGTCAGCTGGGGTGAGGCTGAAAGCAGGTTGGAGACTCATCCTGAGCTCCTCCTAGCCTCAGTTTCCCCAGTGATGCAACTTGAGGCCTCTTCAGTGAGTCAAAACGGAGCCAGCTCTGGCCCCTGGAGAGGCTGCTGGCGCTGGGGAGAGGAGACAGCAGCCAAGTGTGACACAGAGAGTCCCCATGGCCCTGGGCGTGCCTGCTGGTGTGTGCCTGGGGTCCTAACAGGACACTCCCTCCCTCCCCCACAGGCGCTGGGCTCCCTCTGCTCCCCGTGGGCCGCTCCCCGCGTGGGGCCACTGCCCCTGGCCCCCGCCATGGTGCGGATTTCAAAACCCAAGACGTTTCAGGCCTACTTGGATGACTGTCACCGGAGGTATAGCTGTGCCCACTGCCGTGCCCACCTGGCCAACCACGACGACCTCATCTCCAAGGTAACCGGATCACGGTTAGGGCTGGAATGGAAGGCGTGGGGGCTGCTTGGTAGCTCCCCACCAATAACCCTGACCCCCTCTTCCCTCCCTTTCCCTAGTCCTTCCAGGGCAGTCAGGGGCGTGCCTACCTCTTCAATTCCGTGTGAGTATCTGTCCTCCTGTCTTTCTTTTCCTGACCTCTTCTGTGGCCTGTGACCCATGGCACATGCTGAGACTCTCAGAGCCCCCTGGTTCAGGCAAGAAGCCAAGGACAGACACAGTTGGATGCAAGCTAGAGGTGGGCTTTGTGATGGCGGGACCCTCCCTGGGACTGCCCCCGTGTCCCCGCAGGGTGAACGTGGGCTGCGGGCCAGCCGAGGAGCGGGTGCTGCTCACAGGCCTTCATGCTGTCGCTGACATCCACTGCGAGAACTGCAAGACCACTTTGGGCTGGAAATATGTGAGTCAGTGACCTCTGACCCCAAGCTAGCTTTGGACATGACCTCACATCACAGGCAGTCACCTGATCATCTCTCATAGTGGATGGGCCCAGCTCACACAAGTCAAACCGTCTTTTCCTCCCCTGACCATGTTTTCATCTCTCACATCCCACAAAGGCTTTTTTCTCTTTTTCTCTTAACCCATCCGTCTCCTCACAGGCACAAGCACCCCATTTTAGAGATGACGATATAATCAGAATTACCATTTATTAAACCCTTACTGTTACGTGCATAACAACAATCATGACAACAGTCCTGTAGGTACAGTCTACAGAAGAAGGAAGGCCCAGAGGTGTTAGGTAACTTGCCCAAGGTCACACATCCAGCCAGCTGCATAATAGGGAGCAGAATCCGGCTTCGGGTTTTTTTTTTGTTTTGTTTTTTATATTTTATTGATATTTTACGGAGAGGAGAAAGGGAGAGAGATAGAGAGTTAGAAACGTCGATGACAGAGAAACATCGACCAGCTGCCTCTTGCACACCCCCTACCAGGGATGTGCCCGCAACCAATGTACATGCCCTTGACCGGAATCGAACCTGGGACCTTTCAGTCTGCAAACCGACGCTCTACCGCTGAGCCAAACCGGTTTTGGCTTCGTTGTGTTTTTAACTCCAAGCCCTTGACCTCAGCTTCTGTGACCAGAGGATCAGAGAAGTTGCCCAAGACCCCACAGCAACACAGAGCCTGGGTCCATGGGCCTCCTTTTCCACTGCCCTGGTTACCACTGCTGCCGTCCAGGGTCTGATTTCACTCCTCTGAGTTTCATTTCCTTACCTGGCATGGAGGATAAAGCCGCCACTTGGCACCCAGGACTGTTATGGCGATCAGATTAGATGCAGCAGAAGATGCTCTTGGGAAACTGCAGCTGCTTGGAGCTGGGGGCTTGGTGATGTGGAGGCCCCGGGCCGAGACAGCCAGGCAGCCCTGACCGGAGTCCACCCCTGGCCCTGCGCAGACTGGCTTTGTGTACCTGTGCAGGTGGCGTGGCCTCCCGGGACTTTGTAAGGAGCTGGCCAGTTCAGAGGTCAAAAACTCAAGTGCTTGCAGGGCCAAGCAGATCCTGTGGGTCTGCAAGAGGGGCAGCCTAGGCTGTGGGCAAAGGGAGAGGCAGCCAGTGCCATGCTGGAGTCAGCACAGCCTGCCTCTGTGTTAGTATTTCAGTTACTTCTGTTAAACTCTGTTGGCCAAGAAACACGTGTAGGCCCCAGAATTGGCACTCGGGCTCCCAGTTTGTAGCCCCTGGGTCCTGTGGACACTTCCATATCCTCATTGCCAGAGCCAACAGTATCCTTTAGAAAGCACCCATCACTCAGGGAGCTGTCTGCCCCATCAGTGAGAACCAGCTTGGCGTCTGTGGGCAGATGGCTTGGCTTCTCTGGGAGACAGTTTCCTGGGCTGTGGAATAGGGCCCGTCGTACCCAGGCCCCACCCTCCCTCTGTCCCTGCTGGGAAGGCCCTTGCTCCAGGAATGACGGCCTCTCCCCTCCTTTTAGGAACAGGCCTTCGAGAGCAGCCAGAAGTACAAAGAGGGGAAGTACATCATTGAACTCAACCACATGATCAAAGACAACGGCTGGGACTGACCCCCACTCTTGCTGCATGTGGCTCCAGCCCGGCCTGGCCGCCAGGGGGCGCCACTGGCTTCCCTTCTCCGCCGGAAGGGAGCTCTGGACCTGCAGAGCCCCTGCGAAGGAAGGATTCGGCTCCTGTACATATATTTTATTGCATGCACTGTGACCTTGGGGAGGGGGGGTCAGAAGGTGGACTACACCCCCACCCCCACCTCCCTGCGATCTGGCTGGCTTGGATCTCATTTTTTTAACCTCTTCCTGTCCCGCCTACCCTCTAGATATGGCCTGTGTGCTGTTCTCAGCCCAGTGCAGCATCTGCCCTGTGAACTCCTCCCACTGGGCTCCTCTTACCGCACGCGTATCCCCTCCCCTAGTCTGTAGCGTTTGTATATAATAATAAAACCATGAAGTGGAGACGGCCCCAGGCGTATGTGGAATCGGGAAGGGGGAACTCAGGTGCAGAATCCTGTCTCCATAGACCTGTTCCCTGCTGAGCCCCAATGGGGCAGCAGGTAGGCAGGCACCGCGGCTAAAGGTGGGAGTGTCCGCTCCTGGGGCCGGGCCTCAGCCCTCTGGGACCTGGGACTGGTCTCCTGCCGTGGTGCCGGGGCCCACTCTGGCTCCCTAGACCTTGATCTCGGCTGATCGTCTTCTCAGCTTCAGCGTTTGCCACCGCCAGGCGGCCCCCACGGCACCTCTTGATCTCTGTGGCTAAGTTGGCGCTGTGTCTGCTGGGAAGTGTAGTTCCCAGGGCCCCCCAGCACGGGACCTTCTGGAAAACCCAGGCACCAGCCAGATGGAGGCTTGGAGCTGGGGAGATCTGTAACCTTCTGAGACTTGAGTGAGGGTGGAACATGCAGACCAGGAAGAGCTCCAGGGTTTGGCCCTCGGCTGCGGCTGCGGGCTCCAGGGCCCCGTTTAACCATCTGCTCAGGCTCCCTCCCTCCAGCTGGCTCGTTCCCTCCTTTCGTGCTTCATCCCTCCAAGCCCCATCCTCCAAGTGAGGGTGGAGGGGGTCACCTGATAGGGAAGTCTGAGCAGCCAAGGTCTGCCCCAGGACTCCAGGCTCCATCCCAGGGTGCAGGCCCCGCCCCCTCGGTAGCTTATTCCTAGCTGGGGCTCCCCCCCGTGGGAACGGGGACCAGCTGGCCGGAAGCGCCAAACTGCGTCCCTGTCCAAGTGCCGGGGATCAATCAGGCCGAGGAGTTAATTATGTAATGAGGGGCAGGGGGTCGAGGCCAATGAAGACTGCGGGGGAAGGTGCCCAGGTATCCGGCCCCCTCTTGTACCCTTTCCAGGCCCCAGGGGTCTCCACCCCAGCCCAACTCCAGGGCCCCAAAGAGGGAGGGGCTGTGATCCTGGGTCTGGAAGGGGCTGAGCTGTGAGCTATAAAGGGGGCATCTCCCAGCACCAGGGGACTCTAGGCAGCCAGACCCGAGGCCAGACAGGACTACTCCATGTATCATCCAAGAGAGCTGTACCCCTCCCTGGGGACCGGCTACCGCCTCGGGCCCCCCCAGCCCGTGACCGAGCCCAGCTTCCCGCCCGCCCTGGCAGAGGGGTACCGCTACCCTGGTGAGCTTTGGGAGGAGCTCCTGTGCAGGGACTGAGGGTTGCTGTGGACCTGGGCTGGCTCCTCATTCTCCCCCCATCTCCAGATTTGGACACTCCCAAACTGGATTGCTTCCTCTCCGGGACTGAGGCTGCTCCCCGCACCCTGGCGGCTCCCCCACCTCTTCCCCCCCTGCCCCCAGCCCTGGGCGCTGAGCCATCTCCTCCGGCCCCAGAGGCCCTTCACTCTCTCCCTGGAGTCAGCCTGAGCCTGGAGAACCAGGAGCTGTGGAAAGAGTTCAATTCTGTGGGAACAGAGATGATCATCACCAAAGCTGGGAGGTGAGGGGGCTGGGCCGGGGTCAGAGGACCCGGTGTGTCCTGGTGGGGTCTCTTGGGAAAGGCGGAATTCCTGGTGATGGGGCCAGTTTGAGGGTTTCCAGGGGGGGGGGCTAGAACTCTGCCTGAGTTCAGAATGTGATTGTGGTCTGGGCCGTGAGTTCAGAATGTGACTGGTCATGGGTCATGCTGTGGCGAAGGTCTGTGGCAAGAGGCATAGGTCAGTCTGGGCCATATCCAGAGTCTGGCTGGATTCTAGCTTAGTATGTGACCTAGATCAAGGGGTCAGTCTATGGCTCGAGTTGGTCTTCAGACTATCACTAGAGTCAGGGCCAGCCAGTGGCCAGCATCAGGGAAGTCTGGTTAGGATTAGGTTAGCATTAGGGTTTGTCAGTACATGACTAGGTCCAGGGTCACCTGGGAGGCAGCGATGTGGCCACTGTGGCCTAGTGGAGGTCTTTATGTGGGCCAGGAACTTGGGCATGGTATCTTCTGCTACACTGAAAGCAGGGTTGGGAGTGTGTGTGTGTGTGCGCGCGCGCGCGCGCGCGTGCTTTTATTTGTTAATTCTCACCAGAGGACATTTTTTTCATTGATTTTGAGTTGGAGAGGGAGAAACATCAGTGTGAGAAACAACTGGTTGCTGCCTCCCACATGCATCCAGATCAGGGCTGGAGATCAAACCTGCAACCCAAGTACATGCCCTTGACCAGGAATCAAACCCGAGACCTCTGGTGTGAGGGCCAACACTCCAACCACTGACCCACACCGGCCAGGGCTTTTTTTTTTTTTTTCCTTCCCTGAAGCAAGTTTGTCCAGTGGCTGTAGATTCTGGTGCTGGAGACCAGATGAGATCATCGGGGTGGAGAACAGAGGCTCCTGGCAAGATTCCCAGGAGAAAACTGTGACACCCCTGCTTCTGCAAATGGAGTTGGAAGGGCCCGGAGACAGGGTTGTGAGCTCTGCTTCAACCTTTGTGACCGATCAGATCACATCACCTAAGCTGCTCTCATGTTGCCCTTCTATAAAATAGGATGACACAGCTTCCAGGCCCTACCCTCCTCCATTCTAACGCCAGCTGAGCTGGGGGCTCTGCTCCCTTGTCAGTGCTGTGCCTGCTTGTGGCTGCTGGGTAGCTCAGGCTCGCCCGTCTTCTCTCCCACCCAGACGCATGTTCCCTGCTTGTCGAGTGTCCGTCACTGGCCTGGACCCCGAGGCCCGCTACCTGTTCCTTCTGGATGTGGTGCCAGTGGACGGAGCTCGCTACCGTTGGCAGGGCCGGCGCTGGGAGCCCAGCGGCAAAGCCGAGCCTCGCCTGCCTGACCGTGTCTACATTCACCCCGACTCCCCCGCTACCGGCGCCCACTGGATGCGGCAGCCTGTGTCTTTCCATCGTGTCAAGCTCACCAACAGCACCCTGGACCCTCATGGCCACGTGAGGCCCAGGCTGGGGTCCCAGGCTGGGGGTGGGGTGGGAGCCCAGGGCTAGGGGTCACTTCTGCTTCTTCCCTCCCAGCTGATCTTGCACTCCATGCACAAGTATCAGCCCCGCGTGCACCTCGTGCGGGCGGCACAGCTTTGCAGCCAACATTGGGGGGGCGTTGCCTCCTTCCGCTTCCCTGAGACCATGTTCATCTCCGTGACCGCCTACCAGAACCCACGGGTGAGTGACCCTGCCTGAGGGGGGTAGGGGGTGGTACCCTCCCTCAGCTGCAGGAGCTCTGACTCTGGCTATGTGCCCCCAGATCACACAACTGAAGATTGCAGCCAACCCTTTTGCCAAGGGTTTCCGGGAGAATGGCAGGAACTGTAAGAGGTGGGCACTGTTCATTCACTTATTCATTCAACAAATGTCTATTAATTCCCCACTATGTGTGCACAGTGGGTGATTAATACACATTCAATGGTAAATAAAAACATTTATTCATTCATTGATTCAACAAATACTTGTTTAGCACCTAGTGCCAGGCACAATGGTAGGCACCGGAGAAGCATCAGTAAACAGGACAAATGAAAGCCCTGTCCTCATGGAACTAATTCTCTGGCGGGCAAAGTAGACAACAAACAAGAGAAATAATGGAGGTCAGGATGAGTTCTAAAGACAGAAGAAAGCAAGGAAGGAAGAATTGAAGTGTTTTAGATAAGAGGCTTGGAGAGGCCTCACTGAGAGGAGACTTTTGAGAAGACTGGACAGAGCTGTGGGAGGGAACCATGTGGGCATTTGGGAACAGCATGCCGAGTGTGGAGCCAGCATGGGCAAGGGCCCTGCAGGGAGACAGGTTATGTTCAACAGCAAAGGTTTAGTTAGGACTTTGGCTTTTATTCTGAGTACAGTCCCCTGAACTGGTTCTTGCCTTCAAGGCAGAAGAGACAGACATTAATCAAAAGGGGACCCTAACAAATGTAACAGTGTAACTGATATAAATGTTACCTGGGAGGGCAGTCGTGCTGTGGAGGTCAGAGGCCCTCCTGAGGAAGTTAAGCCTGAACTGTCACGCAGGTGAACAGGGGGCAGAAGAGAAGACGGAAAGGCAGCTAGTGAAGATGGGCAGAGCAAGGAAACCACGGGAAAGTTCTAAGTGGGAATACTTTATAGTTATTTAATTCTCTAGTTCCTTCATCTGAAAAATGAGTGTAACACCACCACCTGGTGGGGTGAATGCCTGGTACCTGGTGATAGGGTCGTCACTATCGCTGTATTTCCCAGGGAGCGAGATGCCCGTGTGAAGAGGAAACTGCGGGGCCCAGAGCCAGCAGCCGCAGAGGCCTATGGGAGTGGAGGTGAGTGTAGTCCCACGGTGATGGGGCCAGGCCAGAGGTGCTGATCCTCCTTAGCCCACCCTGGTTCTTTTGTCTCCCAAGATGCACCAGGTGGTCCCTGTGACTCCACCCTGGGCGGGGATGTTCGTGAGCCAGACCCAGAGCAGGCCCCGGCGCCCAGGGAGGCTGCCCCGGCCCCGGCCCCTCTGTGCGGCGGCTCCAGTGCCGAGGCCTACCTCCTGCACCCTGCAGCTTTCCACGGGGCTCCCAGTCACCTTCCAGCCCGGTGAGTGGGACAGGGCACAGGCTGGGCTGTTCCAGTCTGGGTCCCTCTCCAATGTTCTGACACCGTTTTCCCCTTCAGGAACCCCAGCTTCCCTCAGGCTCCAGACTCGGGGCGCCCAGCCCCCTACTCGGCTGCGTTCCTAGAGCTGCAGCCTGGGCCAGGAAGCTCAGGATACCCAGCAGCTGCACCCCCAGCACCCTTTGCCTCACATTTCCTCCAAGGGGGCCCCTTGCCCTTACCTTACCCGGGGGCCTATCTGGATATGGGCTCCAAACCAATGTACTGAGCCATGGCCAGGCCCCTCTGCCTCCCTCAGTCTCCCTTCACAGTCCCCTTCCCCCAGGCTGTAGTCCCCTCACTTCCACTCACCCCATCCCCCACACCAAATGGCTGCCTTGGGCCTCCTCCACCCCACTTCACACTTTGACTTCATTCCCACCCCCCTCTGGCTTCAAAGCTCTGGCTAAGCTTCTGGGAGTCCAGCTGGGGCCAGCTTCCCCTTCCAGGCTCTCACCTCCGTGTGAAGAGGGAGGTTCTGCCGGCCAAATGGGGCCTTGGACCAGCACCACCAACTCCTGGCTTCACCCTTGGGCTCAGCCAGTCATTATTTCCTTGCCCCAGTGCGAGCCACACCAGAGTATTTTTGCTAATAAAACTCAAAAGGCATCAGTACTCTGGAAACATTGGGCGAATGGTGTTTGGCCCTGGGAGGGACTGGGGCTGGGTGAGCAGAGGTCTGTGGGGAGACCCCGCCCCTGATCTAGACTTGCCATTTCCAGCTGCTTGGTTCTGTGTGTGCAAATCCACTCGCTCTGGGCCTGGTTCCTCTTCAGGAAAAAGGGGGAAGCAACGTCCTGACCCTCACTGTTCTGAGAATTAAACAGGCGTCTGAGAGCCTGGCCCTCTACCTCGCTCAGGAACGGTCACTCTCAGGATGGATCCGAGGCTCTGGGAAGTGGGCTGACCTCGCCTCGCCTTCCTGGTGGGTCCATCCCCGGTCCCAGGCAGCAGCACTACTCATCCCCAATCAAGTCTGACACAAATCCAAAGACTGTAGTTCTTCTATTAGAATTTTTTCTTTTTCTCAAAATTTTTATCTAAAAACAAACCAAAAAAAATGAAAAAAAGAAAAACAAAAATTATTGGAAACTTCATGGTTCAGGTGGGGAGGGGAGAGGAGCGTGCAGCTCGGGCTCCGAGCCTCTCCAGAGACAGTCCTCACCCTCCAAGCGCCCTCTCTGAGGGGAGCGAGCGGGGACAGCCCCCACGCCCAGCCTCCGCTGGAGACGAGGGCAGAGTCACAGTGGTCCGAGGCCAGCGGGACTGGGGGCAGAGCCAAAGGGGTCACAGGAAGTAGTCGGCCACGGGCTTCTTGGAGGGGATGCCCCGCGTCTCTTGGGGAGCAGCCTCAAAGATGATAAAATCTTTCTGGAGATGCTCATCCAGCTCCAAGATGGCTGCCACATTCCCACAGCTGCAGGGAGGGAGGGCAAGGGCAGCAGTTAGAGTGTGTCAGCCCAGAGCCCGCCCCCCACCGTGACCTCCTGACCCAGGCAGCTCACCGGTAGCAGTAGTTGGGTGCCGACCACACAGTGAGCACAGTTTCATTGAAGTGCCACTTGTAACCTTCCATCACCAGCTGGTGGGCACGGCAGATCATGTCAATGTCGTTGGCTGCATTGAACTGAGCCACCACGTCACTGCCAAATAGGTAGCCAGCCCCTCGGGGGCTTACACCCCAGCCAGTCGTGTCTGAGGCAAATGAAGGCAGAGATGGGGAGAGGTGGCCTCAAGGCATCTGACTGCCCACTGCCCTTCGAAGGAGAATATCCTGTCCCCCCGCCCCCGCCCCCGCCCCCCATCAGGCCTGTGGGGCAAGAGGACAGGGCCTGGTGGTATTTGGGGGTCCTGAGGGACAGGACTGCAGATGCTGAAGCGGGTAAGCTCCCATGAAGAGACTTTCCTGATAGCTAGAGTCACCTCAATCTGAGTGGCCATGCCAGTTACTGTCCAAAGAGGCACACGGGTGAGTGAAAGGAGCCGCTTCTAAGAACCTCGCCACATAACGGGGTGAACAGGGGATGCCACAGCTAGTCGGGGAGCAGTAACAGGGCACTGGGCGTGGCAGGGAGAGAGTGCAGACTGTCTTACAGCAGAAGGAGCCCTGGACTGGTACCTTGACTTTCAACCTCAGCCCTGCTCCATACAAGCTCAGGTCCCCCCAAAAAGAGGGGTTCTCAGGTGCCGATCATTATATGCATCTGACCTCTGCAAAAGCCCCTTCGCATGCAGGGAGCCAATGATTTTGTCCTAAACAAGCCTCTGACACATAGGCCCTATTCCACCCGAGCTCAAAGCACCCAGCTACCTGTGCCCCTGCTCTGAGAGTGCCAGCCAGGCTGCACGTCAGGGACAGATGCCAGTGCAGACCAGCCCACTTTACTCTTCCCCAAACATACCTGGTCCGACTGTCCCTTCAAGGTTCTTGCTTTTACCAAAGGACTCGGTGTCTCAGCAAACTAAGGACAAAGCCTGGCTGCCCTGCCCCACCTGCCCTCACCTTCAGGGTCAGACCAGAGCAGGTCACACATGGGCCCGTCATGAGGCACCTCCTGCTTTCGGTCAATCGTCCGGATCTGGTCAAGGGTCTGGATGGAGGGGGAGAGGCCCCCGTGCACGCAGAAGATCTACAGGGAGAGCAAGGCAGGAGGAAGAGGCTGAGGCCCAGCGCCTCTCCCCCCTCTCCCACCCCCACGGAGCCCGGGCGGCCTACCTTGCCATCGATGATGGCTGACAAGCTGAGGTAGTCAAAGATCTCAGTGCAGTAGCGCCACACGGTCACCGAGCCGTATTTGCGCAGGCACTCATCATAGAAGCCATAGACCTGTGTGATCTGACGGCTCTCATGGTTGCCCCGGATCAGGGTGATTCGATCAGGATAGCGAACCTGAAAGTAACCACCACGCTAGGGCTGGGGTCCAGGCTCTCTCTCCCTCGTACATCTCCTGACATCTGTCAGCCCCACTCCATCCCATCGCCACCCTGGCCCAGATTCATGCCATCTCTGGCCTGAATGGCATTACACCATCTCACAGGCTCCCAGCCCTCCTTCAGAAATACGGAATCGCCCCCTCCCACCCCACCCCGCCCCGCCGGGGCACCACCGACCAGAGAGAGACCAAGCCCTTAGCTTCAAGGTGCTTCGTCATCTGGCCCCTTACAACCTCTCTCCCACCAGTGGATGTTGTATCCAGTTGAACTCAACTCCTTGTCATTTTCTGAACAGTCTGAGCCTCTTTTCCCTCCCCTACAATGCCACCCCTCTGACCTCATCCTCCAGGGGCCCAATCAGGTGCCCCCAAGTCAAGAAAAGCGTCTGTGACCACCCTTGCCAAGCAGAATCTGTCATCAGCAGCAGCACAGCTCAGAGTTGGGGGTGGATGGAGCAGGAGAGGAGGGCGGAAAGGATGCAGAAGGTCAGGCCTGAGGTGGCCCAGGTTTGGGCTCCGGAAGACAGCGGTCCCCACCTTTAGAGCCAGCAGCAGGAGGAACGTTTCCACGCTGTAGAAACCACGATCCACAAAGTCCCCCATGAAGAGGTAGTTGGTCTCAGGGACGTCGCCACCCACCTGGGGGGAGGGAGAAGGTCCTAAACTGTCCCCTACTCAGTCAAGTGGAAGCCCTTCGTTCACAAAGGGCCCACCTAACTAAAGGCCCTTGCCCCACTCCACTCACCAAAGTCAAAGCTCTCCCTCTCAAAGGGGCCTTCCAGTCACCCCAGGTCACCCTCCCCAGTGTTGACCCACACTCACTCTGAACAGCTCCTTGAGGTCATAGAATTGTCCGTGAATGTCACCGCATACCTGGAAGTGAGAAGGTGTGTGGGAACTCAACGTCTAAAAGCCTCTGCTCCCAGGGGATTCTTCAGATTATCCCTCCTCGCTAAGCCTCTGCTTCTCAGCGTCTAAATCTACTCTCCCACTCCACCGAAGCCGCGTCTGGAATCAACCTCCAACCCACAACGAATGCCAACTAATCTCTGGGAAGAGCGAGAGCCGGGTCTTTTCAGACGTGCGGCTCCTGCAGGGACTCCCCTCAAGGTTCCCAGAATGGAGTTCCTGACAACAAAAAGCTCACAGAAACATGTGGAGTAGAATCACTTACCAAATTAAGGGTCCTTCTGCCCCCGCCAAGAGCATCGCTCCAACAAATCCTGTACTTCCATTTCTTATAGCGAGGGCCCGTGAAGAGGGGGCTCCCAGGGACGAGGGAGCCCACGAGACTACGGAATGTCTACATGCCTAAAACACCACGCTCGGCTTCGGAGGGACAGGGGGTACTCACTGTGACTGGCGAGTCCACCCTCTGCACGTTGCTCTCCTCCACCAGGATCTCTCTGGAGACAGAAGAACAGGGTCACCACAGCCAGGCCTGCCCAGCCCAGTTCCTGATCTTTTTGGGGGGGAGGGGAGGATATGTGGCAATCCTTGAACCTCTACAAGGAGAGGAGAGGAGTGAGGTGTGCAACTTCCCCAGGAAAGGCTGGCCACAGCCCTCTGCTCAGTACCCTCCCGTGGTTCCCCCGCTGCCAACAAGCCAAAGCCTAAACTCTCGTTCTAGCTTTCAAAGCCTTTGCCGGTAGGCTGTGCCTTTCCCAGCCATGACCACTCAACCCTCACCTCCACCGCTTCCTCTCATGCATCCCGCACGCCCAGAAAACAGACCTCTGCCCATACAGCCCCTGCTCCCTGCACTGCTCGCTCAGCCCGGAGGTCTCCGACAGGCTCTCTCCCTCACAGGCCCTTTTCCCAGGCTGACTAAAGGCACACGGGGGCTTGCCCTGGGCAGGCCAGTCATCAAAGTGATTTGTTGCTTTTTTTCATTATTTAGTTAGAGAAAGTGAGGACTTCATTCTTTCTTCTTCCCTTGCAATGCAGTCTGACATGAGTGAGTGAACATGACACAAAAACCACTGTCAGGTTCAGACACCCAGTTTTAGAACCATATTTCATCCTTGATGATAACAGCAGTGGTGAACATTCCAGTTCACACCACACGCCAGGATTCTAGTATGAGCTTTGCATGGATGCCGCATGCAATCAAAGCACGGCCCTCAAAGGCAGGCACTGTGATGACGCCCACTTCTCAGATAAAGAAAATGGCTGAAGTCATACAGGTGGGACTTGAACCAAAGCAACCTGGCTCCGGGCCTGAGAGCTTTCATCAAGCCTCTCCGATGTGGCCCACGACTTGCTCAGCCCTGACTGACAGTCTCCCGGACTCTGCATTTCCTATGGTCCCTCAGGGCACCTGCACGACAAGACAGCCCCAAGGAGGTGTGCTCTGCTTTCTGGGAATGGGAGGGAGAGGGCTGGCTGTAGTCTGGGGGCCCTGCAGCAACCAGCATCTCCAACCCGCATTGCATCTTGTACTGAAAATCGTTCCTTATCAACTGCTTATAATGACCTTTCTTTTTAAAAATATATTTTATTGATTTTTTACAGAGAGGAAGGGAGAGAGATAGAGAGCTAGAAACATCGATGAGAGAGAAACATGGACCAGCTGCCTCTTGCACACCCCCAACCGGGGATGTGCCCTCAACCAACGTACATGTCCTTGACGGGAATCGAACCTGGGACCTTTCAGTCCACAGACCAACGCTCTACCGCTGAGCCAAACCAGTTTTGGCTTATAATGACCTTTCCAACTGACTGGGGGAGCTTTTCATCCCCATCTGACGGTTAAACAACCGAGGCTCAGAAAAACGGGGAAAGATGAAGGTCACAAAGCTGGAGAGTGTCTGAATTGGAATCCAGGAGCCTAACTTCCTGAGAATTTATGCCAACCTCTCCCAGACTCTGGGTCAAACTTCACCTCAGAGCCAGGAGGGCCCCAGCATGGTCTGGAATCGAGACCCAGCCTCTGGCCCCATCTCTGTCACCAGCAGCACACGCCCAGCCCTCTCAGGGCTCGCACCTGCTCACCTTTACTCCACAGCTACCACTGCCTTTGTAAGTGCTCAAAATGCCAGGGCCTGCCTCTGGATATGAACAATCTCATTTGAGTTTCATGATCATTTTGATTTCAAAGACTTGGAAAGGTCAAGTGGCTTGACCAGGTCATACTGTTCAGCGATAGAATTCGTACTGAAGACCGCCTGATTCAAAATCCCCTGCTCTTCGAATATGCTGGCTTTTTAATAAGAGCAAGTTCAGCTCATACACTTCAGGACCCTGTGATTCCCAGAGTTCAAATCTGTATACTCCCTGAGCAAGCCAAAGCTCTCCACACTACCAGCCTTGGCCTGGGTCACTGGTGGGTCCCAGGAGGCCAAGGAGCTAGAACTGGCCCTCCTTCTGACTGGGCCTGGGATAATACTGGCCAACTCAGACCTAATACCTCCTAGCTCTGTGTCCGTTTCAGCTGGACATGACCTTGCCACCCCTCAGTCCTCTGAGCTCTGCTGCCGCTCACAGTCTGTCTCTGCCTGGCTGTCCATGAGCATGGGGTACAGTAAAGACCTGGATGCAAAACCAACCTCCCCTCCCACCACCTGTCACACTGTGGGCAAGACATTATCTTCTCCAAGACTCAGATTCTCTTCGGTGAAATACCCACTCCTGCCCTGCCTATTCCATAGGACTGCTGCAAAACACAATGGTGACTGAATATATAACTTCTCTGCAAACTCCACCATGCTTCCCAAGCTTTAGCTATCACCACCACCAAAATGATCCCGGTGCTACAGGGACAGATAAGACATATGGGAAAAAGAATGGTGCCAGGCAGCAATTGGTTTAAGTTCCTAAAAATGCCATCAAGACAGAGGAAGCAGACAAAACATGGAAGAGCCACAAACAAGCATTTCAAAGGGGGCCTTGCCAAGACCAATTTGGTTCAGTGGTAGAGCATCGGTCTGCAGACTGAAAGGTCCCAGGTTCGATTCCGGTCAAGGGCATGTACCGTGGTTGCGGGCACATCCCCAGTGGGGGGTGTGCAGGAGGCAGCTGAACGATGATTCTCTCTCATCAGTGTTTCTAACTCTCTATCCCTCTCTCTTCCTCTCTGTAAAAAATCAATAAAATATATTTATAAATAAATAAATAAATAAATAGGAGCCTTGCCTGTTCACCAAACCCACAAAGGCCTTGCCTGGGGGCTAGCGTGTCTGGGGTGGGAGGGAGCCAAGCAAGAGTCTGATGGCCACAAACTCAGAACCCAGCGCTGCCATTCTCTCTGTGGGGGATCTCAGTCAAGTCACTATGCCTCTAGGAGTCACAGCCTCTGTTCTGTAAAATGATTTCAGAGAGGAAGGAAGAGGGGGGGAGAGAGAGAACCATCCATGATGATGGAGAATCATGGATTGGCTGCCTCCTGCAAGTCCCCCACTGGGAATCGGAGCCCATAACCCGGGAATGTGCTCTTGACTGGAATTGAACCTGGGACCTTTCAGTTCTCAGGCCAATGCTCTACCCACTGAGCCAAGCCAGCTAGGGCCATTCTGTAAAACAGAGCAAACAATTCCAACCTCACAAGATTGCTGTGGGGAGGAAGTGGATATAAATTCTTTGCCAGTACAAAGCCAGGCTAATAGTGCTTCTGTTACTCAGTAAACATAGGGTAATTTTTCTGGCTCTCTTCTCTGTCCTTTTTAAATAGATTTTTATTAATTTCAGAGAGGGGAGGAGAGGGAGATTGAAACGTCAATGAAGAGAATCATTGACTGCTGCACGTCTCCTGGGGATCAAGTCCTCAACCCAGGCATGTTCCCCACCCAGGAATCAAAATGTGACCTCCTGGTTCACAGGTCGTTGCTCAACCACTGAGCCACACTGGCCCAGGCTGGCTCTTTCCTCACAAGTCTCCAGCTTGGTGGAAGCCACAGACAAATAGCACCTCAGAGGAGGCAGGTAACTGATTTCCTCACTGTTGCCCACATACCTTAGGGCCTCCAATCTTACTCTCACCCTGCTTGGAATGCCTCCCTCCCTGGCCCTGCTCCCATCAGCTACCCTAATTATTTCCATCTTTCGAGGCCCCTTTCTCTTAAGACTTTCCCTGACCACTTCAGTCCACATCAGCATTGCCATCTCCCTACATAGCAATAACAGTGACACCCAGGGTCGTTAAGCAGTCACTGTGCCAAAGCACTATGCTAACTTCATCCCGAGCACCAACTTACTGACTCTTCACAGCCATCTTCCTAAGTACTACGCTTCCCAAATTACAGATATGCGTTTCGGAGACCTCAGGGACCACCACACAGAGAGTACGTGGCAAAGCGCAGATTCCAGCCCACAGCCATTCCAAAGCCTGAGATTGTCATCACGAGCCATCCCGCGCCCACCGAACGCCGCGCTGAATTCTGCTCTGGCCTGTTTGCTACCCTGTCAGGCCCCCACACTCACACAGAGGACCCCTCCGCGCCTGGAAAGCGCAGGACACGGAGAACTGGCTTCCGGCTCCCTCCCTCGGCTGACTTTGAACAGGAGTCCTCATCTGTGAAATGGGGGCAATACTACCCAACTTGAAGGGTTGTTGGTGGAATCTGAAGTAGTTTATAAACCAGAAGTCTTCAGCTTTCCTGCCTTGCTCTTCTGTTCTTGCTGGCGTTCCTGTTTGACACCTTCCTCTGCAAGGCCTGCCCGCAGAGGCCAGTCCCCCCAGCACATAGTAGGGGTGCTTCCCTGCGCGTCTTCCGTGCTTTCTGTCACTCGCCGCCTCCCCGAACACATCACCCCACACTTGAGGTGTCTCTGTCCAGGGCTGCCTTCCCCCTGGCTGCTCCCCGCGGGAAGAGGCCCCTGTCGGCTCTCCTCTGGGGGTGTTTCCAGGACGAGCCGGGCCGAAGTTCTCTGCCGGGCCCCTGGCCGGCCGGCCCTGCCCCCTCCCGCCGGGCCCCCTCCGCCGGGCTCACCGGGCCTTGGCGCACAGGGCCTTGACTTCGCTCTCCTTGATGAGCTCACAGCGCCGCAGCTGCTCGATCTGCCGGTCCAGGTCGCTGATCTCCGCCATGGCCCACCCCGGCGGGTCCGAGCCGGGGCCGCCGCCCCTCCGCGCCGCACAGGGCCCTCCTGGGAGGCGAAGCGAGTCGGTGAGAAGGTCCCTCGGGGCTGCCAGGGTGTGTGTGAGGGGGCCACTCGATTCCGAGGCCGGCCCGCCCCCTCACGCCCCGCCGCCCCGGCTGCTCCCGCTGGGGTCGGCGGCCTAGGGGGTCCCCGGCCCTTACCGCCGCTGCGACTTCGGCTCCGGCTCCGGGGCTCCCCGCCTGCCTCCTTCCCTCCGCTCCGGGCCGCCGCCGCCGCCGCCGCTTCTACTTCCGGCCCCTCCGCGGAAGCACAGGAGGCGAGTTCCGCCGCGCGTCGGATGTGACGTCATACACACCCTGCCCCGCGCCGCGCCCTCGCCGCCGCCTCCGGCCGGGGCGCAGGAGCCGAGCCCCGGATGGCAGCCTCGGCCGGAAGTTGCTGTGGCCGCGGGGTGCGCTCTCGGGCCGTCGTCGCTGCTCAGTGGCGGCGGCTGAAGCCTGTCGGCGCCGCCAGGGCCTTGGTGGCACGATTCGTGGGCCGGTGATGGTCGGCCGCCCCCATTACACCCGGAGGCTGGAACTCGCCTCGCTCACCCCGGCAGCCCGTGCCCACAGGCCTGGCACAGGGCACCCCGAATGCTCTCCGGTGGGCGAAGCGATCCAGCCCGGCCTCTCCGCGGCCACGGAGGGCTCTGCGCGGGAGGGCCTCCAAGTTAAAGGCAGTGGCCACCAGCCGAGGCCGGTCGCATGGCCTGATTTCAGTAGTCCCCTTGACACCCCTCCGTTGCTCTGTCGTCTTCAAACTTTATTCCTTTTTTTTTTTTTTTTTTAAGGAGGAAACTATCTTAGAGGTTAAGTAACTTGTTCACATTTGCATAGCTAAGAATTTGGGATTTGAATCAATGTTGAAATTGGAACCCAGGAAAGCTGTGTTCTAATTTAGCTTTCCAGAATTCACTGTCCTAAGAAGTCCAAAGCTCCCTAAAGTGGTCTTTGAGTTCCTCTGCTTCCCTGGTCGCTTTTGCTGCAGGCCGAGGAAGCAACTAGTTCTTGACCTGGTCTTGTACAAGTTGCTCCCTTTTGGAATGTCCTTTTCACTGTCTTCTATTGACCTTCAGTTCTCATTTGCTTTATTTCAGACATTTCAGAGTTGACGGTAGGCACGGAAGTTTGCAGGGGCACTAGGAGTGTTGAATTTGTATGTAGGTAGCATATACAAATGTACAGAGAAGGAAAGGACCAAGTTTTTAAACTCCTAGAAGGTCCTAGGGTTAATCAGTCTATACCTATCACTACATGGATTTAGTTAAGGTCCAGAGAGATCAGGTCAAGATACTTTTTTTTCCCTCTAAAAGGGCGCTCTGACAGGAAAGGGCCCCTATCAGGAAATCTGAGAAGTGGCAGGAATATTAGGTCCCTGGTGATGACTGGAATCTTCAACAGTTGAGAATATCTGGTATAGGTAGGTGCTGCTGCATTCAGACTGGGTGATTGGAGAAGAGTTCGAGGCATGACAGGGGTAAGCGCAGGGTCTCATGCTGGCTCCACGGAATGTAGCAGCTAGAGGTTCAGTTCTAACTTGGAACCCGAGTTCTGTGTGTGCATTGTTGTGGTGTTGGAGAGGATTCCAGATTCTTCCAGGGGTTCCACAGCCCAAGATTAGCCAGTTCTAATCCCATTCCCTATTAAAATGGGAAGACTGACAAACTCAACAGTGTAGATTAAGGAGATAGGCATTAAGGTTCTTTTTTTAAATATCTTTTTATTGATTTCAGAGAGGGACGGGGAGAAAGAGTTAGAAACACCACTGATAAGAAACATTGATCCACTGCCCCTCGCATGAGCCTGGGGAGTCTGAGCCTGCCATGGCAACATGACCTCCTGGTTCCTAAATCGATGCTCCACCTCTGAAGCCTCGCTAGGCCCACACCTGCAGGACTGCATTAATATTCTTTAAAAAAGAATGCTTTATCCATTTTTTAGACAGAAACATCATAAGAAAAACATCAACCGGCTGCCTCCTGCATATTCCCCACTGGGTATCGAACTCACAACCCGGGCAAGTGCCCTGTGCAGGAATCGAACCTCTTGGTTTATGGGTCAACCCACAACCACTGAACCACATCCACTAGCCTGCATTAATATTCTTGTTTCCACCAAGAGTGTGATCTCCAGCAATAAAGTCTGAAGCTTAAAATGGAAAAACACCCCCTCATACAGAACGTTTTCATGTTGCCTGGCTCAGAGACCCAGGAAATCTCAGCTGTTGTCTGGCTGTTTCTGTTACAAGGGCCTTCTGCACCCGAGGTCTAAGACCTGCAAGTGCTTCAGCCTGCAGCCTCCTACAGCCAGCAGTTAAACACACTCCCCAACTGTGAGCCTTATCTGATGCTGCTAGAAGGGGAAAGAGCCTCTGGTGGTTGAAGGAAATTTCACAAGCTCTCCTCTTGAAACCCTGGGCAATTATAAAACAAAACAGGAAAGGGACCCAACCCCTTCACCATTTCCCTATCTAAGGAAGAACATAAAACAAGAGCTCGCTCTTCTGACTCGGCAACCTCCCCAGACATTCCCCTGACCCAGACGCTACAGACATGGACCAGAAACGCCCCCTTAAATAGATGTTTATTGGCAGTGGGCTGAAAAGGGCATTGGAGTTGGCATACACAGACACCACCACACAACCAGTGTCACAAGGAGGCAGGAGTGCTGGGAAAGAGCAGCCTGAGCCTGGGATGCGGCCTCTAAGAGTGAATGTGGGAGGGGGCGAGGCCTGGAGTGTTCACGGGGCAGCCTTAGATCGCGTCTGCTTAGTAGGCATGGTTAGAGACGAAGAGGGACTGGCTGGCTGCAGCCCCAGCCTGGCCGCTTGGGGTGTACTTTCCTTGGCAGGCAAGGCTGTTGGCCTAAGAGGGGAGAGGAGCCAGAGTAAGGTTTGTGTTCAGAATCGCACCCACCCCGCACTCTGCCCACCTCCGGCTCCATCCTCACCAGTGCGCGCTTGACATACTCCTCCTGGGCGGTCTTCAGGTTCTCCTTCTTCCCGCCCCAGGCCTTCAGGGCAGAGGCCTGCAGGGCGCGGCCATAGGAGAAGGTCAAGGCCCACGGCTTCAGCAGGGGGCACTTGTTGATGGCATTGAGGTTGATGGATGCCTCCTCCTCGCTCTGACCTCCAGACAGGAAGGTGATCCCTGTAGAGCAAAGGTGAGATGGGGAGAGGGGTTGTGGTCCAGGATCCAGGGGACGGGGAGGGTTCCTAGCAGCTGACCGGGAAATCAGACCAATAGGTACAGACTGTGGATACAGTGTGTCTACCTCCCAGAGGGCAGAAAGAGAGCATGGGTCTCACCAGGGACAGCGGGGGGCACTGTGCGGCGCAGCGCAGTGACGGTTGCCATGGCGATCTCCTCGTTAGAAAACTTCTGGGTACAGGCATGGCCTGGGGTGACCATGTTGGGCTTCAGCAGGGTGCCTTCCAGGTAGATGTGGTGGTCACTCAGAGCCTTGTAGACAGCAGCCAGCACCTAGGGTGGGGCAGGACCAGAGTGGGATGGGGTGGAGTAGGGGGACAGGAGTCAGCCCCCAGGCCCACGGCCCAGCTGCCCAGCCCACCACCCGCCCAGGCAGTAAGCAACCTACCTTTTCGGTTACATACTGACAGCGCTTCAGGTCATGGTCCCCGTCGGGGAGGATCTCGGGCTCCACGATGGGCACGATGCCATTCTGTGGGTGAGGGACAGAGTGTATGAGGCCCTGGAGGCCTCCACACTACCCGCAGCTCCTCCTCCAGCTCCTCCTCCTCCTCCAGCTCCCCACACCCACTGGCCAAGGTCCTAGCTCCACGAAGACAGAGACTCGTGGCTTCAAAGCCCTCAGCTTTGCAGGGGGTGGGAGACAGATCTCCTCAGATCAACCCACACAGCCCTCCAGGGTCCCCCCAGGCTCAAGCCTGATGATCGTGAGGATCCGATGGAACAGCTGCCAGGAGGAGGAAGATATCCTGGCAGACGGGCGGCAGGCTAGCTGGCACTCTGGAAGCAAAAGAGATGGGAGCTGGCCTGTTGGGAGTGTGCAGGCCCACCTGCTGGCAGATGCTGGCATAACGGGCCAGAACGTTGGCATTTTCCATGATGGCAAGGGCTGAGGGGGTGTGTTCCCCAATCTTCAGCACACAGCGCCACTTGGCAAAGTCAGCTCCGTCCTTCTTGTACTGGGCACAGCGCTCAGACAGCCCATCCAGCCCTGGGAAGGGGATGAGAGGTCTGAACATGGCAGAGGAGGGGGCAAGTGGCTCCCACTCATCCTGGGCACTTTGAGGGGCACCAACCCAGGTGGGTTGGCCGGCCAGGCAGGGAGCCAAACAGTTCTCACCTTGGGTGGTAGTCTCGCCATTCGTTCCTGCCAGGGGGACCACGCCCTTGTCTACCTGTTGGGTAGGACAATATAAGGCATGTGAGCAATCTCTACTTCCTTCTTTGCCCCACCTTCACCTAATCTCAGTTTATCTCCTGGGCGTCTCTGAGGCAGGACACTGGGGTTATTATTTGACAGACAGCTTGGGACCCTACTAGTTCCTAACTCTGTCAGCAAAACACGCCACTGCCTTGCTCTCAAGACCTCAAAGATTAAAAATACTAAGGTGGGCAGTTTCTAGTTTTCCTTACATCCGGTCTGGGGTAGACTCCACCCAGGTCTCCGGGCTCCCGGCCCAATGTTCACCCCTCCAGCCTACTGCTTTGGGTTTCTTTCCCCCAGACTCACTGCAGATCTCACACTGAGGCCCAAGCCTCCTCACCTTGATGCCCACAACACCCCCCTTGGATTTGATCACTTGGGGGAAGGGACGCCCATCGTCTGTCTTCTGGTAGAGCGTCTCATGGAAGAGGATGACGCCCCCGATGCAGGTGTTCACGCGGTCATCGGCAGTGAGCAGCAGCTGGCGGTAGAAGCGGCGGTTCTCCTCGGTGTTCTCAGTGCCAATGGACTGCAGCCGCTTGGCAATGCTCCCTGCAAAGCAATAGCCCGTGGTCATAGGGGGATCAGCCTGTCACTCCCAAGCCTGGGCCCTCCCCCTACTGGGTCCTGATCGCACCAGTGGACTCATCTGCAGCCAGGATGCCCTTGCCCGGAGCCACAATTCGGTGAGCAATGTCACTCAGCTCCTTCTTCTGCTCCGTGGTCAGCGCTGGGTATTGGTAGGCCATGGTGCCAGTCGATAGGGCCTGGGCAGGAGACAGATGAGGGGGGGAGGGGGAGCGGGCATGGGTTAGCTGGGCCTTCCAGTGGCCTCCCAATGAGCAGAGCCCCTCGCCAGGGCCAAGTTCCCTATCTCCCCTTCCCCATACCCAGCAGGTCTTGGGGTTCTTCCCCAACTCTCCCCTACACCCGACTTCCCTATACTGGGCCGCCTCCTGTACCTTTCCTAACTCCCTGTGTTGCTGGGGGCCGCCCAGCTGAGAGTGGGGTTGTATACTGACTTCTGGGCCATAGGAATAGGCCAGAGCCATGGACAGATAGCTCGTGTAGAAGTTGGACCCTCCTGGCTTGCGCTTAGCCATGGGGTCACCTTGCCTGGAAGCAAAAGCGAACCGCAGTATTTCAGAATTTAGAGGCTGTGCATAAGGCCGAGGGCTGACCCCCTCCTGTGAGAGGAGCCAGAGAAAGGAAAGATCTGTATTCAGTCACACAGCAACCCCAGGGTCAGGTCTGAGGTGAGAGCCCAGACTGCCTGCCGCAGGGCTGTTCCCTCCGCTGAGCTCCGCTCCATCCAGGAGCGCAGAGCTGGGACAGGCACCGAGGCCTCAAGGGCATCCCAAGGTCGGGCTGGAGGGGGGGGGGGGCGTTCGGGAAAGGGCATTGAGGGGGGCGTAGGAGGGAATCAGGAGGCCAGGAAGGCAGCAGAGGAAGCTGGGCAAGGTGGAGAAAGGGGAGTTTGCCGATCTCACTGCTTCTGCAGGGTAAGCGTGCGGAGAGGCAAGCGCCCCACCCCTTCCCCCGAAAAAAGCTCCAGTCTGCTCGCGGGCCGCAGCGGTTCCAGGCTCAGAATCAAGGTCACCCGATAAGAAAAGATAGGAAGGTGTTAATGGGGCACGAGGTGCTGCCAGGGGGAGCCCCTCCTCGCCAGGGGCGCCCGCCTCCCCGGGCAGGGCCCCGCCCGCCTTCGGGAGCCTTGGGGCAGTCTGCGGCCGGCCCCTAGCCCGGTGCCCCCTGGGCCCCGCAGAGGCCAAGGGGCCGCGACCCTCTGCAGCAGGCAGGGGCCCGGGCAGGAAAGGGGAGGGGAGCGGGCTTCTCCGCGGCCGCTTCCTCCCCGCCGTGACTCAGCGCGGAGCCGCGTTGCGCAGGGAGCGGCGGGCGCCATGGGGAGGCTGGGGCCGGGCCGCGGGGGCGGCGGGGATGGAGGGGATGCGGGCCCGGGGCGGGGGGCCCTCTCGGTGGTCTGAGGCCTCCGCACGGGGCGAGGCGCTCACCTGGCACGGGAGGCCGGGGCGGCGGGCGGCGGGCGGCGGAGGCAGCGAACGCGGCGGCCGTCACTGCGGCGGGTTCTGCGGCGCGTTCGGAGCGGAACGCCGGCTGCTGCTCCGGGGGCGGCCCCGGGAGCCGAGGCGCCGCCTTATAAGGCCGCCCCGCCCTCCGCCCGCCTCCCGGGCTCTCCCCCCGGGGCGGCCGGCCCGGCGCCCAATGGCGGGCGAGCGGCTGCGGGAGCCGCCACCCCGAAGGCAGAGCCGGCACCGGAGGCGGCAGCGAGCACCGACCCCTCCCCGCCCCCCTCGGACGTGACTCGGGCCACATCCCGCGCCCGGCCCCCACCTCCCTTCCCCCGCCCGCCCCCTCCCCCTCCCCCCGCCGGCCCGGCCCCCCCTCCGGGCGCCGTGACTCAGCCGGTTCGGGCACCGAGGGGATGGGGCGGGGGCGGGGGCGCGGGTGGAGGAGCCCGAGCTCCGCTTCCCTCCCCTGCCTGGCCCGGACCCGGCTTCCGGGCCGCGCGGCGCCGGGATGGTACACGGTCACCGAACCCCGGGCTCAGGCCGGCCCGGCCGCCACGCCTGCCGGATGCTCGGAGCCCCGGCAGCCCCTCCCGTGTCGCTGGTCCGAGTGCAGGAGCCGTGAGGCGGGCAGCGGCCGAGGGAAGGGCAGCGAGCGGACAGGGAGGCAGCGGTCGGGGCGGCACGCCCGCCGTGCACGCGGCTCCCAGGCCCCGGGGAGCCTCACCAGCGCCGACCCGCCCGAGGCCCGCCGCCGCGCCGCGCAGGCCACGAGCACAGGGTCTGAGCCACGGAAACTGCTCCGTGGACTGACGTCTCAGAATAAAACCCGTCCCCACGCGATCAGCCCCCAGGCCACTCCGCGCCCCCAGCCTAGGTCTCCCCTCACTCGGTCGCCTCCAGCCCTCCCCACCCAGCTCCTCCCGCTGCGCCCACCTGCAGGCCGGAGGAGCGGGCAGGGCCTGGTCAGCAGCGAGTGAGCCGGGCGGCGCCGGGCTGGGTTATAAAGCGCTCCCGCCCTCCCCGCCCATGTCCCCAGCCTTCTCCAGTGACCCCTGCCCTTTCCTCCCCGCGGGCAGGGACCTATATTTAGGGAAACCTGAAGCTCCTGACATTCAGGCCAGCGTGGGGACCCAGTGTGAGAAGCGGGGAGTGAGCTGTGGGCCTGCCCTATTTTAAGGCCGTGGGGAGGGCCCTGCCCACTCACCCTTCCTTCAGAGGAAATGTCTTCCTTGGAAATCCCGACTGGGGCCCTCAAAGGGGAAATAAATCTTTGGGCAGGGACCTGTGGGGAGAAGGGGAAAGGGGACTCAGGTCACGTGGCCTTCCCTGCCTCCTCCTCCTCTGACCCTCTCCCCGGGCTGGGCTCCGATAGGAGCTGCCAGGATTCTCCCGAGCCCATTCCTTTAGAGGGAGTGCAGGGCAGGTGCTGTACCCACACCCCAAAATAACCAGGAGCCCATGGACTGGGCATGCTGGGGTACCCAGTGCCACCCATGGTTAGCATGCGTTTACTGGGGAGGGAGAAGGGGGGGCACCTGCCAGGGCACCAGCCCCTCTTTCCGTTGTCCTTGTGGAGGAACTGCAGGCTAGCCGGCCAGTGGCTCCCCGAGTCTTGCTCTGATGAGAGCCAAGTTCTCCACTGCTGGTTCCCAGGCCAGTGACCCAGCCAGTCCATCCGTGGTTCCAGTGGTCTGAGGCCCCTCAGGGAAGCGGGCATGTGGGCCCTGGGGGCTGGCCACTCCCCAGAGGGCAGGGGCATGGGTCCTCATCGGAGCTTGATCTCAAAGCAGAGGCAGTTGAGGCTCTGGCAGTCAGGAAGCTGGCACGCACAGGCACAGTCGCAGAGTGGGCAGCAGCGAGGGCAGCGGGGGGCCCAACCCTGAGGGAGAGGAGGAAGGAGTGAAGGAGCGGACAGGAGCCGGGGACCAGAGCCAGCAGCCCTTTCCCTCTCAGGGGAGAAGGGAGAGGAGGCCTGGGAAGTCCATTGCCCAGTGGAACAGAGTACCATCCACCGCTCCTGCGGACAAATCAAATCGTGCTGTTGGGAAATCAGCAAGGAGGCAGTGTTCCAAACAACTGAGTTCAGGAGCTGGAAGGAGTTATTCGGGGGGTTCTCTCTCTCCCCCCATTTTATAGGCGAGGAGACTGAGGGCCAGAGAGCTGCTGGCCTGGTCCCATGCTAGAAGTCTGGTGTCCCAGCGCTCAGCTCAGTGATGGTTCTTCTGCATTTGTGCAGCCTGGTGCGGCCCAGTGTCATTGGAAGTCAGAGGACAGGGAAAGCACTCACACATTTTCTTCCATGATGAAAACGACTTGTTTGTTTTGTGGATTTATCCCCTGCCATGAGACCAAACTGCAGGATCTCATTCATGGTTTCAGAGCACCTACTCTGTGCAAGGCACAGGCTGCATTCATGAATGAGTTTTTAAATCTCTCAAGTGTTCTTTAATGATGGTAATTTGCATATTTAAAATTGTTAACGTCTCAAAAAAGTCATATCTCCTAATCTTCAGAGCCCTGAGTAGGGAAGCCTCTTCACAAAAGAGGAAATGGAGGCTCTGAGAGTGGAGCGTTTGCCCAAAGGAACACATCCAGGGATTGCTGCTGGGAGGCACCTCGGCTGCCTGCTCCCCGTCCTTAGATCCCCTGGACCAGTGGTTCTCAACCCTCCTAATGCCACGGCCCTTTCACACAGCTCCCCCTGCTGTGGTGACCCCCAACCATAACATTATTTTCCTTGCTACTTGGTAACTGTAACTTTGCCACTGTTAATGAGTCGTAATGTAACTATTTGTGTTTTCCAATGGTCTTAGGCTCTACAGCAGGTTGAGAACTGCTAGCAGACTGGCCTAAGGCCATCGGAAAAGTGGGATGAATGGATAAACCAAAGCACATATTTCCTCCCTCTGTAGGCAAAGGAGAAAAAAGAGCTGCTCCCGTTCCCGGGAACCAGGGGGTCTGTGTCTAGGGGAACAGGAACAGCATGTCCCAGAGACAGAAGGGAGGCCAGCCGACTCCAGCGATCCTCTCCTGTCCCGGGCAGAGCCGATGTGAGACTGTTTCAGGCACTGAGTGGAGTCAGGCCAAGCGGCTGGGGCAGGACACGCACAGGCTGTGTGACAAACTGGCACCCTGAGCCCTGAGGAGCCCTAGTGACAGTCACAGTTGCAGGGATCAGACCCTGGGCCAAGCCAGGAATAGGAGAATGACCTTTTGAACAGCTGAGGTTTTGGGGTGCGGGGCCGGATTGCTGGTACTATCAGATATCACTGGGGCGCCTGTGAGGAGGAGGGACCTATCTCCAGGCAGAGGGGGCTACTGCCACCGGAATTGGCTGCCAAGGAGGAGGCTGAGAGTGTCATGGTGGAAGGGACAGAGAGCACAGTGGTTTCTCCGCGTGTGTGTGTGTGTGTGTGTGTGTGTGTGTGATGAGGGTGTGGTTTGGGGTGTCTCTGGGGAGCCCCAGCCTGGGGATGAAGTCAGCTCTGTGGGGTTTTGGAGGACCACACAGCCATTCTGTGCACAAAATTGGTGGCGAGAGAGGCTCCCCTGCCCTCACTCCCGAGAAGCGGGCATTAAAAGCGTTTCTGGCTCTGTCCCTTGGAGCTAGTCATTAAAGACTGGCTAATGCATTTCTCAGCTCCTGCAGGCAGCCAGGCGGCTTCTGGAAGGAATCTGCTGGTTAAGTACATTAAACAGAGCTCTGCAGACTGTTAACCCCCTGTTTCCCTGGCTCTGGGTGTGCCACTGATTTCTTCTTCGATGTAGAGAAGGCCAGCCACCTGCACTGGTTGGAGCCCAGGCTCAGCCTTGAGGCTAGTTGAGGCCCAGGCTTGGCTAATTCATGTTTTGAGCCTCAGCTTCCTCTGCTCCGGGCCCACTTCTTCAGGTCATCGCTCGGAATCAGAGGAAAGGACGAAGCACAATGCCTGATGCTTAGTGAGCACCCAGTAAATGAGCAGCTCTTTACCTTGTAGGTGGGGCAGGACCATGTGAAAACTTGTTAAAAATTCACACTCTGCCCAGCTGGTGTGGCTCATTGAGCATTGACCTATGAACCAGGAGATCATGGT